AAGCAGGAAATGCTGATGATGGGAACCACCTCCATTCTTCCATGAGTATGCATGCAGTCAGAAAATTCAGACTGTGAAAAGCTAGTTGAAGGGGCCAGGTTCTTCAGCAAATCAATCGTAAACAAAAGAGAGGGAAGGGAAATATAGGTGGAGTGAGACTCAAAAGACTTACCCAAACTAAAAACGTAAGGACAAAACTAAAACCATAGTGTACGAGAATGCATACTTGGATGATAAAACTTCTTCTTGAAAGAAGTTCGGGAAAGTGGTAAAGGAGGTGCAAACACGGGACTTTAGAGGTTATCTGGTATAGAGAAGAAGGGAAAAAGAAGAAATTCAGGTTTCCCTAGTGAGAGACGTGGACAGCCATGTGGAAAATGCTGGTTCCGTTAGCAGAACCTAGAATACAGATGATGGAGCAGAGTGGACAGAGGTGATTACACTATTTTAAATATTGAGGTACTGTTTACATTCAGTGAAATGCAGACTTGAGCATACAGTCCTGTGAAGTTTTTCATATGTATGAACCTATGTAACCAACACACCAATCAAAATGTAAAACCCTTTAAATAAGTATTCTAAAACCAAAAGTGTTCAGGACTGGAGGTGTGGCTCAAACAATAGAGTGCCTGCTTTGCAAATACGAAGCCCTAAGTTCAAACCTCATTTAAAAAATTTTTTTTAAGTAATCTAGAATTAAAACCAAAACTATTCGTAGTAAAGATGCATCAGAGTTCTTTCTGAGAGTGGAACATTGTGTCACATTCTCTGCCTTCTCTCTAGGCAGCTTTTAGTGGTGAGCAAACCGCAGTTTGGTTATCTGCTGTCCACTGATGGACATCTGAGATTGTTTCCAGTTTCTTGTAGAAGTCTTTTTGTAAACATATTTTTCTCTTGTGCATGTGTAGGAGTGGAAGCCCCAGGGTATGAGCCATCTGGCTGCCTCACTGCTTTGTGCTTTGACCTTTTAGTGTTTTTAGTTCCAGCCATTTTAGTGTGTGTGAGGTGGCAATTCATACCAAAAAAAGGGCTGGCGGAGTGACTCAAGGTGTAGGCCCTGAGTTCAAGTCCCTGTACCGAAGGAAAAAAATATATTGTATAAAATTACTTTTAAGCCATGTGTATGTATGAAACATAAATGACTTCCATGTTTAAACTCTGGTCCCATTCCTGAGATATCTTATTATGTAGGTGCAAATATTCCAAAGTCTGAAATATGAAACACTTCGAATCCCAAGCATATCAGATGATATAAAGATTTATGGACATATTGACTGCTTTTTTTTTTTGGCATTTCTGGGGTTTGAATCGAGATCCTCCTATTTGTGCTTTCCTATGAAGCTGGGATGATGGGCCTACACCACCATGCTCAGCCAATGGTTGAGATGGATTCTCCAAAGTTTTTGCCCCAAACCTCAATCTAGATTCATTCTCCTGAGACTCTGGTGAAAGCCTAACAATACCAAACCAAGAAGGTCATATTTAACATAACAGGCATAATTGGGCATACAGGCAGATGTATTTGATAGGTGAACTTCTGACACCTGCAAAGCTGCTGCCCATGAAGGAAAATAACCTTGGACGTGGCCTTCCAGGTATTGAGGCAGAAGTGTTATTGCTGCACATTCACCAGCGCTGGGATAGTGCCAGGACTGAGAAGCGGAGGGGAGAGCAGGCTGCTGAGGTCCAAGGGCTGGCATGTCCCCACCTAGTTTGTTTTTTGAGATAGGCTTTCTAACTTTTACTGGTCTCCTGCTGAGATCTTCCCATCTATGCCTCCAGCTAGTTGGGATTATATTCTCTCTTAGATTGCTAAATTTCACTCTAGGAGGCAGTTAAAGCCACTGACAGAACCTTTTGTCCCTGTCAAGCTTGCTTTTATTCTAACAATTTCAATTTCTGTGTCTCAGTGTGAACCTGCCCTATTGTCCTGGCTGGAAATCCATGTCTCCCAGCTCTGCCCTATCTCTTAAGTATCACCTGTTAGTGTTCAGCCCCATAGTGGGTAATATCTGCTAGGGCTGATGAATTCTTGCCCTGAGCTTGTGCAGTCCAGCAGTCTTCAGCCAAAAGACTGCCCACCCCCACGCCCAAGCCATGTCATGCTGCTGTCTCAGTTAGGTACCCCTCCTCACAAAGCTGGCCTCTTCCCACAGATAGAACTCCATCCACATGCTCAGTGAGACTATCACTCCTTCCAGCCTCCTTCTCCCTATACAGCAGTAAGAAAGTGCCCCGGGGTGAACCAGGGCAGTCATAGTGCTCACCTTCTTATGCTGTCTTTCTGTCAGGACTCACAGCTTGTTTCTCAGTACCCAAAAGTATATATTCATTTACCTCGTGTATCTTGTCTAGGTTTATAATTGTTTGTGGAGGGAGAGAGACTAGTTCTAGTTGTTCTGTCGTGGTCTGTAGGGGAAGTTGGGGTTCAGTTTTAGACATGATGTTGTTTTGGATACCTATGGAACATCCATGCAGAAATACTTAACAGGCAATTAGGGATTTTCCTACAGAGCCTGGAAGAGACAGTGGAGGCTGGAAATTCAGATGTTATAATCATGTGTTTACAGTAGTGATTAAAGCCAAGAGAATGGATGTGATCACTCAGCTACAGAATGGCTAGAGAATGGGTAAAAGAACATTTAAAAATTTTTCTCATACTGGGGATGTACAGGCTTAAGTGGTCCTGAGTTTAGTTCCGAGACTACAATAAAAAAAATTTTTTTTCTCTTAAAAAGACCAAGAAAGGGTAGCTAAAGAAGAAAGTGAGCTGGGCGCTGGTGGCTCACATCCATAATCCTAGCTACTCAGAAGACAGAGATTCGGAGGATCGTGGTTTGAAGCCAGCCACGGGCAAAGAGTTTGTGAGACCCTATCTTGAAAATAACCAACACACCCACAAAAAATGGGGCTGGCAGAGTGGCCTGCCTTGCAAGTGTGAGTTCAAACCCCAGTACCACCAAAAAAAAAATTTTTTTAAAGAAAGTGAGACCAAACATGGTGGTACACATCTGTAATCCCAGCACTCTGGAGGCTGACGCAGGACTACATCTTGAGATCTTGTTTCCAAAAAGAAGGAAAGAGGGAGGGAGGAGGGAAGAAGGAAGGATGGGAGGATGGGAGGGAAGGAAGATGGGAAGGAAGGGAGGGGTGAAAAGAAAGAAGAGGAGAAGAAGTGAAGAATAGGAAACATTAGTGTCACAGCCACCATAAAGTGTTTATGTAGGGGAGTGGCAGATGTCAGGAGCCTATCCTTTCTCTAATGTGTAACAGTCCCAGAGCCCAGCTTTCCTCTGGCACTGCTGAGGACTGAGTAAAAATCTCACTTGGGTGCTCATTACAGAAGAACCTACCTGCCCAGGCTCCAGTACTACCCTATAGAGTTAAAGCCACACCAGCTTCTTGAGGAAGCTGAGCCTGTCTTCCAGACGTAGTCACAATTGTGTGCTTCCAGCCTTCTTGGGGCTTAGACAGCTGGCGAGTATGAGCATCGTTTTCACAATACTAAGAGGAATGTCAGCTATTTTATGATAAGGTCCATGGTGGAGTATACCCTGTTTCTAGTTCTAGTATCCAGTTGTCTATAGACTGGAGGGTTTTGGACTGGAAGTCGCTCTAAGGCATCTAACTCAACCTTCTTGAGAAATTGACACTCATCACCGAGAGGGAGCTAGAGGTATGGCTCAATAGTTCAGCGTTTACCTAGCATGTGTGTGAGGTCCTGGGTTCTATCCCCAGCACTCCAGAAAAACAAATTAGAGGGCTTTAACTAGGTGTAGAAAATTAGATGAGGCCAGTTGATGTCAAAAGGAGAATTTATTGTAAGAGTATAGAGACATCTGGTGGTATTCAAAGGCCAAGGATAAAACCAAGTTTGAGAGTAGACTGGAGCCATGACCTGCCCTAGACTTGGACGGCCCTTGCTTCCTCCCTCGTGTGTGTGTGTGTGTGTGTGTGTGTGTGTGTGTGTGTGTGTGATTCAGTCTTCTGCCTCATCTCAGCGGGAAATGATCACCAGCAACTCTTCCTGAGTTCAGAGCTTAGGAAAGAAGCTATTCATTCCCTGTCATTCAGGAAAGAAGCCTGCCTCTTTCTAGAATAACAATTCATCTTCTCCTGGAGAAGGTATCCGTAGCCCACTTGGGTCAATGCAGTCAGTCAGTTACAGCCAAGGTCTGGGGTATCATTTTTCTATTGACATGTCTTCAGGGAGCCCTTTCTCTGTAATCATGTGGTATAAATCCTCAATAAGGGGGAAGGTTATTTTCCAGAGATAACAAGGAGTCAGATGGCAGGGCAACCAACCTAGTAGATGTTTAGGATATGAGGATTACATTAGTAATGAGTGGCTGAGCCAGGACCAAAGCCCCTGAGGCTTCCCCACTGGGAACAGTAGCAATTACTTGATCTGGGAGTGAGCAACAGACAGACAGACACTTATTCTCATTCCTATTGGTATAAAGAGATAATGGTCTCTTCCCTGGAAATCTAGGGCATCCTGACTCTAGGACCATTACAACAAAAGGTGGATTCCCTCTTTACGATTCCAAACCCTTTCAGGTAGAATCCAGGGCACCTTCAATAATCTGGATACATGGGCTGGCTCAAGCAGTAGAGTGCCTGCCTCGCAAACGTGAAGCCCTGAGTTCAAACCTCAGTACTCCAAAAAGGAATCTGGACACATACACATGTTCACCTTTTGTCTTCTCATTTTCGTTTTTCATCTTTCATCTCCTTTCTACTTGCTGTCACATCACAAGGTAAAGAACCTGGCAACTAGGAGTTCCGGGGTCACGTCCTTAGGGTGTCTGACCAAATTGAAAAGAGAGTTTTCCCTAATGCCAGATAGAAAAATTCCAGTGAAGGCTTCTGATTGAGGAGATGGAGTCCTCTGATTGGCTGTGCCTTCTTCACTTGCTTATCCGTGGGGTCAGGAGGTGGCAAGGGAAGAATGTTAAGCAGGGTAGACAAAATCTCTTTTGCTTTGTGTCTTTTCCCAGGTGACCATGGAGGCTGGTGGCCTTCCCCTGGAACTGTGGCGCATGATCTTAGCTTACCTGCACCTTCCTGACCTGGGCCGCTGCAGTCTGGTGTGCAGGGCCTGGTATGAACTGATCCTCAGTCTTGACAGTACCGCTGGCGGCAGCTATGTCTGGGCTGCACTGAGTGCCGCCATCCCAATTGGCCTAACCAGCCTGATGTGGAGCCTGAGTCTTGGAGGGAGGCCTTCAAGCAGCATTACCTTGCCTCCAAGACCTGGACCAAGAATGCCCTAGACTTGGAGTCCTCCGTCTGCTTTTCTCTGTTCCGCAGGAGGAGGGAACGACGCACCCTAAGTGTTGGGCCAGGCCATGAGTTTGACAGCCTGGGCAGTGCCTTGGCCATGGCCAGCCTATATGATCGAATTGTGCTGTTCCCAGGTGTGTATGAAGAACAAGGTGAAATCATCCTGAAGGTGCCCGTGGAGATTGTGGGCCACGGGAAGTTGGGCGAGGTAGCCCTGCTAGCCAGCATTGATCAGCACTGCTCAACCACACGCCTGTGCAACCTAGTCTTCATGCCAGCCTGGTTCTCACCCATCATGTATAAGGTGGGTGTCTACATCAAACAGATGTCATCCAGTCCTAACCCCAGGCTTGGCCTCTCCCTGCTTTATTGGAATTGAGAGTTTAGTGTTTATTCCTATCACATAACTCCTCTGAAGTCTGAACCAGTTGAGAAATGTAAAGGAATCAGTATCGTTCAAAATTCTGCTTTATTCCTATAAAGCTATACTAGAAAATGAGGGATGGATCTGGGGTCAAAATCTTACACCACAGGTAGAGCAGCTAGGTAGGAAAGATAGGTTCTGGGAGCAGGCAGCATAGTGACAGGAAGAATCCACTGGCTGCTCATGGCAGCATGTGCAATAGCGGTGGCCTTCAGCACATGAACCCCACCCCATGCAGGATCAAGGAAGCTCAGACTTTTCCCAGGATTAGCTACTTCTCAAGGGTACCTGGAGAAAGGGTGAGGAAACCCAGTCCTTCCATGAACACAGAGCAGAGGTGTTAAAGAAAGCAAGCATCAAGGTGTTGGTAGCTCCTGACAGAGCAGTCTACTGCATATATACCATGTGAAAACTGACTGCAGTATCTGGATGATGTACCTATTCCATAATGGCAATATCACTACCAATAACAACTATCTCTCACGCTTGTAAAGATCATTAAAATGCCAGTCATTAGCGATGCACTTAATATGTGCCAGGCACATGCTTTTCTACAGATACTCTCTCACTTATTCTGCTCTATTGTCCTATGAGAGGGTGGTGTCGTCTGATTTTATAGATGAGAGTAAGTGATATAGCCAGGGTCTTAGGCTTCGTAAGGGACAGAGCCATGATGCAAAGTCATATCTGCAGCCTAGATGGCTTTCCACCTGTGTCCTTATTTGATCCCCACAACAAGCATTTGTGGTGAACAGAGTAGATGTGCTATCCCCATCTTGCAGGTGAGGGGCACTCTCAAAGTCAGAGATGCTAAGTAACTTTCTCAGGTGGGTAATTAGTGGGGTCAGAGCTCAGATCCGGGTCTTTGGATCTAAGCACTTATAAAATTACAACATGCTGGATTCCTTGGAAGCTTAAAAGCCTGCTTTTAGCTATAGAATGTGCCAGAAGGACTAATGAGCCCCCCCTTGGGCTGGTCCGCAGATCCAGAAGGAGAGTTTGTTTCCAGAAACAATGTGTCAGACCCATCAAGCTTTATAATGTTTTTACTCTTAGAGTAGTGTGTTCATTTTGGTCTGGAAGCGCAGCGGTAGCTACTTGAGGGAGGGCCTGGCCTTAGGCTTCTCTGTAGCCCTCCATCTGCCTTAGGGCTTGGCATTATTACTGCTCAGTCCTTGATTGTCTTTTTAACTCAAAATGGCACAGGACATGGAATGGCCTTGCCTGAAAATACAAAGGCCAGGACAATATTACAGCAGTTTTTAGTGACATCAGAAGAAAATCTCAGCATCTGTAGGGATCTGGCCTGTATCCTTAGAGAGGACTGAGGAAGAGAAGAAATGGACTTAAGTGCAGCAAGAAAAAGTAGGTTAGTGATAAGGAAGAACTTAGGTTAGGGGAAGTCAAGTCTGGGAAAGCTATCAGGGGACCTCACTGCTAGAAAATGTTTAAAACAGCTCAAGAAGTAGGTGTGTTTGTTTGGAATATTAAATAGGTCATGAGACACTCCCACATTTTATGGCGCAGATACATCTGACGCAATGTGTGTGAAACTCAGGGAGGTTCTTTTTCAGGAATGTAGAGCAAAGGGGTCTCACCAAGCTTGCCTCTCACTAAGGCCCAGAGCCGAGCGGCCCAGGTGAATTATGACTTTAGCACTTTCCCCACCCCCACCCCCGACTCCTGAGGGCTCTCTGTTCCTTGTGTCCATGGCCCTAGATAATAAGAGCTAACTTCTACTAAGTGCCAGCTCTATTTCTGGCACTGCACTTTGTGCTTTATTAACTAGTAATCCCCATGCTGCAGACTGATGCTTAGAGAGGTGATGTCATTTGTCCTGGTTAATGCACTTGAAAGAGACAGAGCTAGGGGTTGTCCCTTATGGTCAGCTCCAGATCCATGCTTTTAACCACTGTTTAGTGATGGCAGCATCCCTCATCCCCTCTCTTCAAAGATGCAAGTTGCTGTCTTCTGCTGCTCCACCACACATTAGTAACCACAGACTGGTTTCCCACAGTACTTGTTCACTGGGCCTCCCCTGCTGTCTGTCCCAGCCCAGACAGGGCTGAGCCCCTCTTGGCCTGCCCTCTCTATGCCAGCAGTCAGGGTTCTGCATGGCCCTGTCCCAAGCTCAGACAGCCAGTTCTATGGTGTGCTGCAGGGCAGCAGGCTCAGGTGGAGGACACAGGTCCACAGGCCAAGAGGGGAATGGGGGAAGGGAAAGCACATTGAAAGGGTAAGACCTAGAGAAACTTCTGTTCATGACTCGACAAGTTTTCATAGAACCCAGCCACTGAGCGGGACCCCCTTTCAGAGGCTTAGTAAGGTCCATCTCAGATCTCAGGTAATTCTTATGTTTGTAAAAATTCAAAGCTCTCCCAACCATGTTGGGTTCCCCCTGAATTGACCCCTCCTGCTTCAGCTCCTGTATGAGCTTGTGTTGATTCCCTTTCACCAGTATCCCTTTGCTGCAACTTCTTCCTTCCTTTTCATCTTCACCAAAAGAAAGAAAGGAATTCATTGTCACTGAGCATTTCATTAGTATTCGGAGAATTTACTTAAGACCTGAGGTATGCAGAAAGGGTCAGGCTGCAGAGTTTGAACTTTTTAGCCCCTATCCACTCTTTTCTCTTTTCTGTGAGATTAGAAGAATGTCAGGGCAGGCAGCTCCCACTTCTGATGCAGAGTCACTCCCCAGTTCCTTTGGGAGTCAGCTGACATGCAGGCCCTGGTGAGGAACAGGAGATAATCAGTGGAACACATGGCCTTTCCCTGCTCTGCCCTTCTTCAAGGGTTCAGGTGCTGACTAGCAAACCAAAACTTGGCCTTCTCACAGAGTTTCTCCTTCTTATTCCCCAGACCACATCAGGTCACGTCCAGTTTGACAACTGCAACTTTGAGAATGGGCACATCCAGGTCCATGGTCCCGGTACCTGCCAAGTGAAGTTTTGCACTTTCAAAAACACCCATGTCTTCCTGCACAACGTGCCCCTGTGTGTCCTGGAGAACTGTGAATTTGTGGGCAGTGAAAATAACTCTGTGACTGTTGAGGGTCACCCATCAGCAGATAAGAACTGGGCGTATAAGTATCTCCTGGGACTTATCAGGTCCTCTCCCATCTTGCTCCCTGCAGAGGACTCGGACTTTTTAATGTCCCTGGACCTGGAGAGCCGGGACCAGGCCTGGAGCCCAAGGACTTGTGATATTGTCATTGAGGGCAGCCAGAGCCCCACCAGCCCAGCCTCTAGCTCCCCAAAGCCAGGCTCCAAGGCTGGATCCCAGGAGGCAGAGGTGGGCAGCGATGGGGAAAAGGTAGCCCAGACCCCAGACAGCAGCGACGGAGGCCTGAGTCCCAGTGGCGAGGATGAGGATGAGGACCAGCTCACGTACAGACTGTCCTACCAGGTGCAGGGCCCGCGCCCTGTTCTAGGGGGCTCTTTTCTGGGCCCACCACTGCCAGGAGCATCCATTCAGCTGCCCAGCTGTCTGGTGCTAAACTCATTGCAGCAGGAGCTGCAGAAGGACAAGGAGGCCATGGCATTGGCCAGCTCCGTGCAGGGCTGCCTTATCCGAAAGTGCCTCTTCCGAGATGGGAAGGGAGGTGTCTTCGTCTGCTCCTACGGCCGAGCCAAGATGGAAGGAAACGTCTTTCGGAACCTGACTTACGCTGTGCGGTGTATACATAATAGCAAGGTGCTGTAGCAAGAGCAGACTTTGTAGACTGAGACCACCCTGGATCACCAGGGGCATATCAATGTTGAGAGGGCTCCTGTGGCTATACATAGGAAGGATGTGATGGGGATGGACTGTTTTGCTTTCTTTTTGACCATAGTTGGGATTGAACCCAAGGGAGAGTAGGCAAGTCTCTACCAATTGAACTAAGCCCCAGCCCTTTTGGTTGTATTTTGTTTCTGAGATAGGGTCTCTCTAACTTTGCTAGGGCTGGCCTCAAACTCACAGTCCTCCCACCTCTGCTTCCTTAGTGTTTCTAAGCTTTTTAATATTTGACTTCATGCCCATCATCTGACTTGAACAAGGCAAAAAATATTCTTCCCATTTCACAGAAAAGGAAACAGAGATCCAGAGAGGGAAGGTGTCTTATTCAGGGTCACACAGAAAGTTTGAGGCAGAATTGAGTTCTAGAATGTAGGTCTTAACGCCTGTCATGCTGCTTCTCAAACATATCACCCAAGTCCTAGGTGAAAAAAACAAGGTCTTTTTGGCAAAGATAATAGAAGATTCAGGGAGCCATGATCTCTGCCTTCAATTCAGACTTGAGTGTGGCAGTTGAGAAGGCTTTCAAGAAGAGCTGTCTGTGCCAAGTAGGATGAGTAGAGGGTCTGGGGAAAATGGGATGTTCGCGATAAAAGGGGTTCACAGTGAATGCAGAGTGAGGCCTTCCAGCAGCAGGAGCATCCTGTGCTGGGCCTGGTTGTGAGGTTGCCTTCACCTGTGTCCCAGGGACAAGTTGAAAGATGAAGCTGAGGAGGTGAGCAGTACCACTTTGCCCAGGGCCTGGTAAGGTGTACCTTATGCTAAGAGCAGCCCATTAGCCGTTGATGTAATCAGCACCTTGCATGTGTGCCATGGGACAACCTGCAAATCCCATCAATAGTTGGTAACAGGAAGGGTTCTAAAGGGAAAGACAGGCCTTGCAGAAGAAAGTCTGGGCATGAGTCTCACCTCTCCGTTAGTTCACTGTGAACATTACCTCCTCCTATGCGCAGTGGAAGTGAGTATTCCTGTCTGACTTCTCTCACTGGAGGCTGAGGGCCCAGTGCTGTGGTTTGGCAGAAGCACTCAGTAAACTAAAGTGCACTGTGTAAATGTCAAACGTAGGTCTTCCAGGCTTCTAGAATGGTTAATAGCAATTGCATTTAATTATGTTACCCAGCACACTTCCAAAGAAGATTTTAGGTGGTGTTACCCTGAAAGTACAAAATAAGACTGTGCCACAAACAGAAAAGAAAATGGTCAAATAAAAAAGGGAAGGACAAAAGGGGAGTAATTTGCTCTCATGGGTACCATGATGAAAGGATCTGGTTCAAGCCCTCAGGGAAGACTTTCTTCATTGCATAGTCATTAAGAATATGACTTTTGCCAGACACTGGTGGCTCATACCTGTAATCCTAGCTACTTGGAAGGCAGAGATCAAGAGAATAGTGGTTCAAAGCCAGCCCGGGCAAATAGTTCACAAGATCCTATCTCAAAACACAAAACTTCACAAAACAAAAAACTTCACAAAAAAAGGCTGGTGGAGTGGCTAAAGGTATAGGCCCTGATTCAAACCCCAGTACCACAAAAAAAAAAAAAGAATATGACTCTTGATTAAAATTCTGACTCTGCCACTGAAGCCCCTTGGACAATGTCAGGACTACCTAATGTTACTCATAGGGATAATATTTTTTTTAATTTTATTTTATCGTTTTTACATTTACTTACATGTGTATACACTACTTGGGCCACCTCCCTCCCTCCTTCCTCCCCTCCCTTGGGGATAATTATTGAAGATCACATTTTGAAAGTGCTAAGCCAGGTGTGGTTGTGCACATCTATAATCCTAGCACTCAGGAGGCTGACTCAGGAGGTTTGAGATCAGCCTAGGCCTACATGGTGAGACCCTGTGTTGAAGGAAAGAAGGAAAGAGGGAGGGAGGGAGGAAGGAAGGAAGGAGGGAAGGGCTTAGCAGTGCACCTAGTAATACAGCAAATGTTCAGAATTTTTTTTTAAAGATGATGGCAGTCCAATGTGAGAGATTCTATGATAGAGGTGCCAGGGGTGGCACAGGAGCCCACAAGTGGGACCATCTGACCCAGCCTTGAGGACCCAGGAAAGGTTTCATGAAATAATGGTACCCAGCCTCAGCTGTCAAGGAGGAATAAGAGCGGGCAGGTGAAGATATGCAGTACAGGAAGTGTGTGAGAAGGCCTGGAGGTGGCAAGAAGAGTTGGGAGAGGGAGTCAGTCAGCAGGAGTCAGATCTAGCCACAGAGGTCTTGCCAGTGAGAGTGGAGTTCACCTGGAGAGTTGCTGCAACCCACTGAGAGGTTTGAGCAGAGAACCATAGATAGGTAGATAGGTCTGCCTCCTGAAGGCTCATTTCCTGAGCCTCCTGGAGGATGGAATGGAGGGCAACAAGGCTAGCGGCAAGGAGATAACTATGGTTCAGAGGTGGAGAGGAAGGGCAGGACAGCCTGGGAAAGGAACAGTCAGGAGCATGAGTCCCAGATTTCTGACTCCAGTGGCCAAGGTAATGATGAGAACATGGGAGAAGGTAGGATGTGGAGGGAAAGATCAGTTCTGGGCACACTGAGTTAAAACACTTCTCACACCAGGTAGAGGTGTCATCTTGCTGGGTCAGGAGCTTTGGGGAGAGGTGTTTGTTGATGTAGGGTGCACGGAGGGAGCGGTCATTGTGCAGCCTGAGGGTGGAGGCATCGACAAGGATGGAAGAACAGTTACACCACAGTATTGTAGCCCTCTCAAACAGTTGCCCATAACTTTCGGCAGGAGTTACCTGAAAAACTGGTCTTCAGGGTTTTTGACTAAAAAAAACATCCATGGTATCTCATGGGCACACAGCACAGGCATGGTTCATGCTGAGTGGCATGAATAAAGCAGGGAGGGTAGGAGTGCAGCCTACTAAACAGGTCCCTGAGCTGGGGAACAAGGCCTTCATCCAGTGGCTTAGAGGAACAATGCCTTTTCCAATGTTCTCCATCCTAAGCAGAATCCAAAACTTCCTTGAAATTGTACTTCTGTCCTATTATACTCCTCCCAGAATTCTATCCTAGTGCAATATATTAGTATCAAATAACTTATCACAGTATACTTACTGTTGATACATAGTTGTTTAAAACAGTATAAGTATATGTACATACTTATTAAATATAAGAAGAAAATGTAATTGGAAATATATCCCTTACTAAGCTGGGTGTACCTTATTTAAAGAGGTTTTCTCATTCCAAAATTTCTGATTGTCCCTTGGTTTGGAGTATCAGTGTTTTTTTCACACCAGGTATTACACCAAGAAAGACTGAGATTGTGAAAGAATAGGGCTCTTTTCTTATAACTAATTATTTTTTTAATTAAGAATCAGACTTGGGCTGGGTACATCTGCACTTGGCAGGCAGAGGCAGGAGGATGCAAGCCTGCAGCCAGCCTGGGCTATCTTATCTCAAAGACACAAGGGCTGGAGGCTGTAGAGTACTTGCCTAGCACTGGGCTTGATTACTAGAAGGAGAAGGAGAATCATAGCAGCAGCAGCAGCCCTGGCTTCATGACTGGGGGAGGTGGAAGAAGATACGTGTAGTACTGTCCTTGGCACTCAAGCAGGCAAATCCCATCTCTGTAAGCTTGATCCCACAGCAAAGCTTCAATCTGAGTTTAGTAAAGCCCTGACTTGAGGCTGGTTGGTAAAGAGCCCACAGGGCTATGCCAGCTTGGGCAGAGAGACTGTGTCCCAAGCGCACAGTAGGAGGGTGGATGTGTAGGGAGGTGCCCCTCACCTGTGGGTGAACTGTAGGGATGGGAAGGAACTCAGATGGTCCCTGAGTGGTTACTAAAAATCTTTATGGTAGGAAAATAGCTTTCTCTTTTCTGCTTAGATCGTCATGCTCAGGAACGACATTTATCGCTGTCGAGCGTCAGGCATTTTTCTTCGCTTGGAGGGCGGAGGCTTGATCGCAGGCAACAACATTTACCACAACGCAGAGGCTGGTGTTGATATCCGGAAAAGATCCAACCCACTCATTCTGGTACTTTCCTGTCTTCTTTCCCTGTTCTGGGTGGCTCTAGGTTTCCAGAACATTTAAGTAAACGTTGCCATCTTGAATTTATATGCTTCCTGTTTACAAGACCCTTTTCTGTGTGTCCTCATGACTCTGTCTGTCTTTCTCTGTGTATTAGTAGTTACTATGGACAGGTTACTTCCTGCAGTCTCCCCATCAATAAGAAAGAGGATCAGGTGTTCAGGGAGATTTTATAGCACCTTCCCTGGTCCAGTGTGCTGTGGTTGGTTTTGAGTGTAGTAAGAATAAAAATACAATGTCTGTCCTGAAGGACACTTGAATCTAAAAACAAAACAAAACCCTACCAGCTGGTCAGCTCTTTCTAAAGAGGATATGTGGGATTTTTTTTCCTGATGATTATTTGTTTCCTGGAGATTGAGTTTGATGTTATACCAGTGTGACATGAGACACCAGCCACTTTTCCACTCTTGGCTTTTCCTCAGAGACAGACTTCTAGAAATTGGGAAATTATGGACTTGTAAAAATAAGAGTATAATGCTTACTATATGCCAGATTCTTTGCTAAGCACACTTAATTATCCTTCACCCTGTGACGTAGAATGATATTACACCATTTTGTAGGTGGAGATAATTGGACACAAGAGGCAAAGGACCTTGTCCACAGTCATAACAACTGGTGACAGAGCTGGAATTTGAATGCAGGCAGTCCCATTCTATCTCGACTGGCTACAAAAATGCAGAGAAGGAAAGCTCCTACATAGATCTAAAAAATTATGCGTAGCCAGTGTCCTCTGTCCACCTTTTCTTTTAGTTTTGCCTCTGCCATTGAGCTGGCAGTGATGCCCTGCCTCAGTTTAGGCAGTTACTGCTGTTGTTGCCAGAGAGAAAAGAGGAGTTTGCCTTCCTCCTGACAAAGTGACAGGCTACTTTGGCAGATGAGGGGGGGAGGGAGTGGCCCATGCAAGTCCTGGTTTGTAAAAGGGGTAGGAATGGCAGTACTGTTGTATACACCTCTCTCTCCGAGCTTTTCAGCCTTCTCAGCAACTTTTCAGTGTCTGTCCTGGTGAGTTTACCCAACCCTTCAGAAATCTGGAGGTTGGTAAGAGTAAGGAGAGCTGGTCACATGAAACACTATAAAGCAAACTGGATCTTTGTCTCCATGGCATGGTTTTGGAAGACCTATAGCTAACTTCCTGGTTTAAGTATGGAATTGGAGTTCAGCTATAAATTCATAATTGGAGACAATTTTATCATAATCTATTGTAATCTCAAAGTATCAAGTCACTGTGCAAAAGCAACTCACTGCTCTGGGAGACAGCAAAACTAGGTTTCACATCTGGTTCTGCCACAGATGTACTGCACAGTCCTGGGCTGATTTCCCCATCCATTCAAAGAGGTGTCTCAGTGTCCTGTAGCTCACACGCCTCCTGTAATCTTGTGCCTGTAGGACAGCTAAGCCCCCAGCACCTGCACCCTCCCCTGAATAAGAAGTGAGGACCAGAAACCAACTGGCTCTCTCCCCTCTCTGGGTATGGACCCCTTGGGACCGCTCTTGGCTTACATTTCATTGTACTGAGTGCTGCCCTTCCCTGAGATGTGGGCACCCTGGGCCATGGTGGGGGCGGGGAGGGTGACTTGCCTGGATGATTGTGTGTTTGAGGAACTCTGGAGAGGCTTGGATACTTTTGGTGGCCTGCCTTACAGATGAAGTGCAAAAGCCCAAAGCAGCAAGGTCCAGCATAACCACATATGGAGGCTGCAGGGAAACCCCTGTCCCACACTCCTACTGTTTCCACCTGTGCAGGAAAAGTAGGGCAGCTAGGGAGCTTGCCATGTGCTACGGATCTTTGATGACATTCTTTTCTCCATGTTCATCTTGGTGCAGTTGTGGTCAGTGATCAAGCCCTCTGCTTCTCACCTGCATGTCTCACCTGTCTTCTGTGGCTTTTCACTTTCCCTTGCAGTGTAACCAGATCCACCATGGCCTTCGCTCTGGCATTGTTGTCCTTGGCAATGGGAAAGGCGTCATCAGGAACAATCAAATCTTTTCAAATAAGGAAGCTGGCATTTATATCCTGTACCATGGAAATCCAGTTGTGAGGTAGGTGCTGCTGTTCCCAGACTATCCAGCTCATCCATGGACCCTTCTTCCCCACTTCTTCTGTTTCCCCACTCTGTGTCTTTCCTCCATTTCAAAACATGTTTGTTCATTATGACTGTACAGAGGCCAGCAAAAAAGAGACTGCATTTACAATCCTAGATGCAGTATACACTGCTCTGGTGCTTCCGCCTTCCCTCCAGTTAACTTTGTGTAGGTCTCTGTTCAGCAAACTACTGAGCATTTTTAACAGGGACAATGAGGATCCCAAGGCGTGGACTGTGCTTGCTGGAAGCTAACGCAAGTCAAGAGGATGTTCATACATAGGGACACTGTAATGCCGCAGGAATTTCCACTCGTGTCGACCCCAGTCAATTGATAGTGGCTAATTTGGATGCTGTGTTAAGATTCTGGGACTACCTCTGGCCTCAGTACGAAAGCATAATGTGATCCATTAGTGACATAAGCCATAGGTGGGAAGGGCAATACTGGGACCCTGTATCTGCCAGCTGTAGTATGGAGCAGACTGTGATAGATACCATCAAAGTGGTGTCAAAAGAAAGAAAGAAACCAGGTGCCAGTGGCTCACACCTATGATCCTAGCTACTTAAGAGGCTAAGATCAGGAGGATTGAGGTTTGAGGCTAGCCTGGGCAAATAGTTCACGAGACTCCCCATCTCCAAAATAACTACAGCAAAATAGACTGGAGGTGTGGCTCAAGCAGTAGAGTACCTGCCTTGTGAGCTCACCTGCTTTGCAAGTGCAAAGCCCTGACTTCAAATCCCAGTCCCACCAAAAAAAAAAAAAAAAAAAAAGAGGAGGAAAGAATCATTTTGACTAGAAAGATGTGGGAAGGCTTCATGTCAGACTTTGAAATATGGAAGGACTTGGACTCTCAGGAGTTGGGGGGTGAGCACTCCTAGCAAAGGGAAAGACATAAGCAAAGGCAGCAGAGCCCAGCAGATCCCGAGGTGGCCATTGCATCTTGAGAAAAAGTACTTTAAATTGGGACTATCCCAGAAAATCTTGCACTCTGTGATGAGTATAGTATGACCTTTTATACCCACGTGGCAGTCCATCTCTGCCATGTAGCATACTGGAAAGAAATGGTGGAAAGAATGGCTTGGGGGCAGACCTTGTGTCAACTGGTCTGAGGAAGGTGGAGTTGGTTCTGTCAAGGTAGTGGGGAATCTAAAGGTTTTGAAGCTGGTGGAGTGGCTCAAGTGGTTAAGGGCGTCTGCCTAGCAAGTGTGAGGCCCTGAATTCAAACCTCAGTGCTGCCAAAAAAAAAAATTAGTAAAGGATTTGAGCATGGTTATATCTGTGCTTTAAGAAAACAGCTAGCATTAATGCACAGCAAATGCATTCTGAGGTGTTTTCCCCTGCATTATTCCATATGCACTTTTCCAGGTTGTTGCACAGTACTTATATTTATCATTCTGGAAAGTTTCAGAACATTCTATTGTTTTGCTTATCCAGTCCTAGTATTATTAGGCAAGCATTTTTTCACTGTTAAAAACAGCTTATAAACAGGGCTGGTAGAGTGGCTCAAGTTGTAGAGTGCCTGCCTAGCAAGCATGAGTCTCTTGAGTTCAAACTCCAGCGCCACCCCCACAAAAAAAAGACAAAAACAAAACAGCTCATAAACATAAGTTGTAGTCATAGCACACTTTGCAGGTGCTGGGAAGCCATTTTGTTTTAAAAATATCATAATCAGATCAGTGCTGTTTGTTTTAAAAACTTAGTCACCTTGAGAGACTAGGTTGTACTTCCTACCCTCTATGGTGCTTTTTGATAGGAGGCAAGGGTTTGGGGGAGGACACAGAAAGAAGTCTGAGATCCCCCAAGTGACTGGGATGAGGCAAAGCCCAGCATATCTTTTTTCCCTGAGAGTTATACGACTCTAATCAACCTAAGCAGCTTAGTACAGCCTCCTGTTAATTCTTCACACCACCAAGACTTTACCTGTGACCCATGCACATGGTAGCACATTTAAAATAGTGTTTATAGGTAGATGAGAGTAAGGAGAAGCCACAGAGAATTGGATATCATTGTGCTTATATCCCATAGGTGTGGGTTTAGCTTTTAGTCAAGCTGTCCCAGTGCAACCAAAGATTTCTGAATGCCTGGACTCTAGCACTTCAGGAACCTGAGCCACCAGGGCACCACAAGGGAAGGCCTTGATGCATGACATCTGTGCTCAGCTCTTCTTCTTGTCTCCTTCTATTTTAGAGGGAACCATATTTTCAAGGGCCGTGCAGCCGGCATAGCAGTGAACGAGAATGGCAAGGGCCTCATCACAGGTATGGGATGGGAAACAACTGGACCTGTGGCCAGCTGAGGCAACTGGTGGTCAGGTCACCATCCCCTGGCATCACTCCTTTACCTAGCATACACCTCTTTCTGTGACTAGCAGGCTGGCTTTCAGGGAGACCAGCCATGTTTCCCATGAGGAAGGCATAGCACAGCACGGAGGCAGTGGCAGCTCTGCCAGGCTGAGGACTGACTGTGTCTCACCAGGCACTCACAATACTTCCAGAAGCCCCAATGCCAGGCTGTCAAATCTCTGACTCATTCCTGCTTATCCTTTAGGTCTCAATTTAAGTGTCACTTTTTCAGGGAAGAATTCTCTGACCTCCCTGATAAACAGATACTCACTCTACTCAGGACTCCTCTGGAGGACATTTTAATGTTCTAGTGCTTTGTTTTGTCTATCTGCTTTTGTAAAAGATGATAGATCCACAAGGCAAGGATCAAGTCTGCCTTGGAGACAAGCTCCAAGTCAATGGAGCTTCAGCATAGAGGAGAGCCATACTTGGATCTTGGCCCAGGGAAGACCCTGACCACATCCAGCTGTCATTCATTAAACAGTTATTGGGGGTGTGGCTCAGTGATAGAGCACTTGCCTAGCATATGTGAATCCCTGGGTTCAATCCTCAACGGTGGAAAAAAAAAACTTATAGAGCACCCACTGTGTGCAGCCCATGTTCTAGGAACTGGAGATAAAGCAGTGAAGGAAACAGATGCCATCCCTGCTCTCAGGAAGGAAAGCAAGTAAATAAATAACAGCATACATAGCCAAGTGTGACAAAAAGACCTGGGGGTGATAAGGTCATTTGCATAAGAGGATGGAGGGACTGTGTAGGTGTTCATCGTGTGGTCAGGGAGGGCCTTTCTGAGAAGGCGACATATAAGTTGTGAACCTGAAAGGTGAAATGGAGCCTGAGAAAAGACCCTTACATGCAGGGCCACCTGTGGGAATAGATTTGGCATACCTGAGTGGGGATCACTTATGGGACTAGACTGTGGCCTGAAAGAGGCAGGGGGCATGAGATGGGGTCACAGAGGCAGGAGGGAGTCCATCACAAGGGTCTCATGACCCATTGCAGCCCAGTCCCAAGAGGCTGAGTCCTCACTGCCACAGTGCTGGAGACAGCAGTGCCCAGACCGCCCCCTTCTGTCTTGAGACTCCTCAGCCCACTATGGGAGAAGGGGAGGCTCCCTGGGAGGGGCAGGAAGGGGCCAGTGAGGGTGCAGGGCTGAGGCTGAGGGCTGGCAAGTGCCTTCCCAGGCTTGTGGGGAACCTCTGGATTCCACCTCCAGCTCTAAAGCCAGTTTGTTCTTATCATCAATCTCAAGGCCACTGGGTATGGTGAGTGCTGGGAACGCAAGTGCACACCTTGCCTTTGGGGATAGCAGATACGTCCCCGAAACAACATAGCAGATAAGGCCCGAAAATATCAGCAAGTGGACGGGCTTCTGAGCTGCTGACTGCCGGCAGCTAAGACGTGGGTGTCCTGGTCTGGTGTCCTTCCTTTAAGCTGCCCAAGTCCTCATTACCAGTGCCAGAGGTGGCCCTCTCTGCCTCTCTCCGTAGAAAATGTCATTCGTGAGAATCAGTGGGGAGGTGTGGACATCCGCCGCGGAGGGATTCCCGTCCTCAGGAGCAACCTCATCTGCTTTGGCTACTCTGACGGCGTGGTGGTGGGAGACGAGGGCAAAGGTCTGATAGAAGGCAATACCATCTATGGTAAGGAGAAAGTTCCTGGGGAAAAGGTCCCGGGTCCAGCCCCACCTGGGAGGCAGGAAGCCCAGGTTGCACTCCAGCTTGTGGGTTCAAAAAAAGTCATCAAAGACGCCCAAAGAACAAGAGCTCTCTGGGGCCCTCCCGGCATGAAGACCTCTTACAAATCACCTCGTATTCTACACTGTGCCCGAGGGTCAGCAAAGAGGAGCTTTATCGCCAGGTAAAATAGCAGAAGGCAGGAGTTGGATCCCGTCTAAGGGTGGGCAGCCCACTTAAGCTCCAACACCTGGGCATCTGACTCTACATCCCTTTTTTGATCTGGAGAACAGAAAATGCAATGAGAGAACAAGATAAGCACAGAAAGAATACTGTCCTCATTCACTGTGATGGTGAACAAAGCTGCAGTCTTTCTGGACTGTATCTTTAATAATAATTATAGACAATGTTTATTCAGGCCCAGCTCTCTGCTAGGCCCTTTGTGTGCATGTCACACTTAACCCTTCTGCCTGCCTTCTGAGGGTAGTGATACTAACCCCAACTGAAAAGTGAGGAACCAAGGTTGCGTAACCTGCTCAAGATCTCTGCTAGGAAGTGGTAGGGTGGATTCAAAGGCTTCTTCCTTTGCAGGGAGATGTTGGTGCTCCTTTGACTGTCCTCAGCGTGGGCTGTGTGCTTCTGATTGGAAGCATGGCGTGACAGTTTTTTGAGCTTTTACACCATGAGTATGATTCTGGCTGGTGACTGACCTGGTCATTGTGGTCCCTCGCACATGAGGGAGTTGCCACAGCCAGAGTTGTGACATAAATTGTCCCAGTGCCTTTTGCTTCCCCTCTCAGAGTGACACTGTGTGCTGTCTTCCTCATTGTCGGGTGCCAGTGACCAACTCCTTTCACTGTCCCAGCTAACAAGGGCTGTGGTGTGTGGATGATGTCGTCCAGTCTGCCCCACGTCACTAGCAACCATGTGAGCTACAATGGCCTGTACGGAGTGGCAGTGTTCAGCCAGAAGGATGGTGTCAGTGAGTTCCCCGGAGGCCATGGGGCCCAGGAGAACTTCAGTGAAGATGGAGACGCCATCCTCTGGGAGACAGAGTTGGAGAAGGAAGACGATCCACTGCGCCGGCCTATTACCATAGCTCTTGTGGAGTCTAACAGTATTAATCACAATGGAGGTGAGTGGGCCCCCAACCCCTGCTGACAAACCTTCTGTGGCTCCCCACTGTTTTAGGATTGCAAGCTGATACAGCTTGGCCTTCCACCCTATCAGCCACTTCTTTCTGCACATGTACATTGTGTCTCTAGGCATACACAGCCCCAGATACCATTTTTCCTTTCCAAAATGTCTTAACACCTTTCAACTACTACATAGCTTGATAAATTTAATACCTATCAAGCTACTATTTGGCTCAATAAATTTTTCTAGTAAGAAATTACAGGGTTTCCTTTATAAAGAAAATCTCCCAAAATAGTAGGGAGACAGAATCCAGCTCACTATGGGAAGGAAAACAAAACCAGACATCTGTCTAGCAGGTAGAGCACTCTGTCTACAGATGGCAGATGCACCTTGAGGAGGTGGCAAGCTCCCTGACACAGGAGGTACAAATAGTGGAAGAATGAGGTTGTAGGGTCATTTTGGCCTGATGAGAGCATGGGGCAGAGGGGCACTTGAGCTAAGGAGCCTTCTCACAGCCTGTGTCCCAGGCCACCTTTGTTGAGGACTTAGTTCAGCAGGAGCAGTTTTCTCTATCTGCCCTCCCTGTTCCCCTGCTGTCTGCATGAGATCAGTAAATGAAACCCAAGGCCTGCAGGTCACTGCCTCTTCTTCCCCAGCCTCTCCTGGAGCACACAGTTCAGGGAAGGCTGTTCCTGACTGGTGGTGTCAGGGCTGACCCTGGGATCACTCCCTCTGCCCATAGCCTCAGGACTGTATGTTCAGAGCAATGAGGTGCTGCACGTCCTCACCAATGTGATCCATGCCAATGGGGACAGAGGCATCACTGTGGCTCAGAGCAGTCAGCTCACTCGGGTGGCCAACAACAGCATCTCCTGCAACCGCCAGAGTGGAGTCAAAGTTGAGGCCCAGTGCAAGGTGGAGCTCCGGGGCAATGGTATCTATGACAACCGAGGCCACGGCATCATCACCAAGGGCGACAGCACTGTTGTCATTGAAAACGACATCATTGGCAACCGGGGCAGTGGGCTGCAGTTGCTGCCCAGGTCTGACACTAAGGTGAGTACAGGTGCACATGTGCAACACATGGTGCCAGTGCAGGGCCCAGCCCTACCTCATGCCCTCTGCTAAGAAGCAGAGCCATTGGCACTGAGCGCTCCCAGGGGCACCATCCCTCCTGCCAGAACTCATGGGAGATCTGGGTGGGTGTCACCTAGCAGGGCACATAGGGTGTCCTGAAGGATGAACACCAGTTCACCAACAGGGAGCTAGCAGGGAGTGTCCCCGCCTAGATTTTATGGTATTGGGAGCCTTCTGAGGAGTCTTCATGGTGTCTGGGTCAAGGTCAGGGCTAGGTTAGCTCTTTCCCTAGCAGAATAAGCTTGCATAGGACCTGTTATGTAGTAGGTGCTTAGTGAGGAAAGAATCCTGTCTCAGGGCCTCTGGACACACTGTCCCTGTGTGCTCAGTCACTCTTACCCTGTGCTACCTCATTCATGCAGCTGGACTGTCGCCTTCTTCAAGAAGACTTTGGACTCCCCCAGGCTGCTTGAGGTGCCCCTTTTCTGGACAGTGGTGGCATTTGTGCCCACACTGCCTTACAGAGCACTTCCACTGTGCTTTCTATCTGCTTCTTCACCTGTTTCTCCCCCACAAGGCGTGAACTCAACTCAGAGCACCTTTTGTGCAATGTCATGTGTTGGGTGCTAGGGTTTCCATGCTGAGCCAGACAAATGCAGCCTGGCCCCTGTGGAATTACGATCCCGAAGGCTCTTGTAGTTCAGCAGCTTCATGGACTGCTGACTTACAGGAGGAAGGAAGATGTCTTCGACTTAGTGCCTGAGCCCTGTGGCAGCACAACGGAGAGGGGCACTTTATTGCCTCAGTTGGCTTCTGACACCACCTCCCTTCTCTGCCAGGCTTTTGCACATTGTTCCTTCTTCCTGGAACAACTCTCCCCTGTGCTCCCCTGATGAACTCCCACAGCTTGCCTATCACCTCCTACAGGAAGCCTTCCCTGGATCCCTTAGGCTTTTCTCCATACCCTGTGCTGAGCACCTCTGGCTATGTGCTGACCTCCCCAGCATATGTGTACCCTGCAGTTTTATAACTAACAGTTAATTTGCCTGGCTCTCCACCAGTTTGTGTGACAGACTGGTGTGACAAGCTCTGGCTGCTTCTCCCAGGTAATAAAAAATCGGATCCACTCATTCCGGGCCTATGGCATCGCAGTGCGGGGCCGCGCCAAGGCGCTAGTGCAAGAGAACATCATCTTCCAGGGCAAGACCAACAAGACCATCTTTCAGCAGATCACAAACAACCGAGAATGCATCATGCAGAACAATAAGTTCCTGGTCTTCAAGAAAAAGTACGTTCCTGGGGTTGCCCAAACCAGACTTATAGAACCACAGTGAGGCCACTGGGATAGCCAGGCCCAGGCCTGGTGCTTGTAGCTGCTGCCCTGCTCCCTGCCGTCTACCAGCAGAGAACTTGGGTTGACTTCCTGGGAGGAAAAAGCTTTTTAAGATTCAAGGAATGTGCTTTTGCATCTCAGCTCTGCCAGTCACTGGCTCTGTGACCTTGGGCAAGTCCCACAACATGTCTGAGCCTTGGCAAAATCTAGTTAATAATATCTGCATTGTGGCAGATCTCATGACCTAGCTGGATAGCTGAGGCACTACAAATATGGTACTACTGCTTCTCTGTTTTCAGTGCCTCTGCTTCAGGGTATCATGACTGCCTCCCACTCTTCTTCCCCAAACCTTTTAGCCTCCTCCTTCTTGACACCAAAGCTCAGTCACCAAGGCCCTTTGATTCTGCTTTTGAAGTCATCTTATATCTGGTACCTCCTCTTCCCCAGCTTCTGCTACTCTGACTCAGGTCTCAGCTCATCACAGTGGCCCACAGTGCCAGCTATTTCAGCAGCTGATGGATGGACTGTTCTGATTGATCAGTGCCTTGCTGTACTAGCTATAAAATAATAGTGACCATTACTACTGTTATTGGTGCCACCCTGCACTATTCAAATTGTCTGTCCTGTTGCAGCCACTTTCTGTGGTCTCCCTGCCCTTAGGCTGCCCCTGCTCCACTCTACACTCTCATCCTGCCAGGCTGAGCTCCCTAAATGAGAGCTCAGTACTGTCCCATCCTTAGGCATAAACCTTTGCTGGGGTCTGGTGTGGTTCAAGTGTTAGAGCACCTGCTTAGCAAGCACAAGGCCCTGAGTTTAAGCCCTAGTACTGCCAAAACAACAACAACAACAAAAAACCAACCAAACAAAAAAAACCTTTGCTGGATACCAATTTTCTAGTCATGATTGCCATACTTTTTGTATTAAATACTTAGTAAGAATAGTTTTTGAGGCAACATGCTCATGTAGGTATATTTGTTTATTCATAACTTACATATGTGTAGAATTCTATCAGTGTATTATTTACTTTATAAACTAGCCCCAAAATAGAAGTCTTAACAATACAAGGTAATAATGGAAATTCTACCATTTTCTTCCTACATCCCAGCAGATCATACTGTGGACTCTCTGGGATCCACACACCCCGCTTTCCTTTTGAAGACCCCAGGGGACAGGAGGCAGCCCAACCTCACTAACCCAGCTTGTCCTCTGTGTACTGTCCCGCCAGGGTACTCACTTCACAGGAGCCACCTGACTTGGCTCTGCCTTTACAGTCCTGTTACCATCAGACACAGTGTCACATATAACATCATTGCTGCCTTAAGTGACTTCAGATTTAGTGTAACTATTAACTCAAACTTGATTTTCCTCCACCCTTCCTAATCCTAAACTTGGGTGACTGGAAATACATTACCCTCTGTCTCCTGTCGATTTGCATTTTCCGTGACAGATATGGATAAAGCAGTTTGTTTACCCATTTGCCAGCTCAAGGTTGTTTAGGTAGTTTATAGTTTTTGGTGTTTATGAATACACCTTCTAGCACACAACCATGGTCACACAGCTGGGAAAGAGGAAAAGAGAACCATTGATCCATATCTAGGTCCTTATTTAAAGATGGGGAAATTGAGGCCTGTAGTGGAACTTGCAGAATTGAAGGCAGAGCTGGACTTAGGATGCTGTGCTTTTGCTGCTTGGTTTCTCACACCCCAGTTCTTTGGGCTGTCACTAACTCAGGAAACAAAACCTACACCCAAATTTGAACCATGGATATAGTGAGCTGGAGCCACAGGAAACTGCAGGGCACTCAGCTGGTGTTCTTGACCTCTGATTTCACTGATTTTTCTTCTGCATCAGCAGGTCTGATACATGGCGCCTGGTGAACCCACCAGCACGGCCTCACCTTGAAAACTCTCTCAGGGGCCCCTCTGCCACCCACAGTGGGCAGAAGGTCACAGCCATGGCGACCAGGATCACAGCCCGTGTGGAAGGTGGTTACCATAGCAACCGCAGCATCTTCTGCACCATCCTGTAGAGTTGGGACCTGCCTCAGGCTCAGGCCCTGCCAAGCACTCAGAATTCTGAGTTGAAGCCAAGACCAAGGCCCTCTGCTGGAAGTAGTGCCTGAGAAGACTCTCAGTCCCTCCCCTACTCTTCCTCACCACCCCTCCTCCTGGGACTAAGAACAAGGTACCTCCAAAGCCCTTCAGCTCCACAGCCCTCAGCAGTAAGAAACTTGGAAACATTTTTCAAGGAGTAAAAAGAACAGAAGCTGGAGGGCTTCCAGTCGCTCCAACACTTACAGACTATGAAGAGTTAGGGAAACTCAATACATAAGCTTTCAGGCCAGGATTCCTCTTGAGTTACAGAGAACCTCACTTCACACACACCAAACCCAGACTCTTCTTAGGGAAGAGCAGACTGACTTCTGAAGGAAGGAAGTGATCCTGGTGAGGTGGAGAAGCTGCCCTCTTTTCTGGATCTGCCCCTCTGTAGTCCCTCCAGGGCTGCAACACAGCCTCCCAGCTGCCTCTGGAGGCCACAGTTGTTTGTTTACTTAAGCGCAGTTCTCTTACATTTGGACATGGCCCTGTGAGGAAGAAGCTTGGGACAGGAGGCCCTCTTGAAAGGCCACTCCAGGGATGACAAGGAGACATGCCACAACAGGAGGTGCATGTGACAACTGACTTCTCTTGGGTGTGCAGACAGGTGCAAGCTTGAGCTGCGCAGGGATACAGGAAGCTCCACTGACCTCAAGGAGTTCCCAAGCTCAGGACATTAGCTCCATGCCTGCCGCAGGATCTTGATCCCGAGCACATCCACACTGGCTGCCCCTCCTGCCTCCAGCCTGTCCAGACGGAGGGGCCTGGGCCTTCAACGTGCCCATATGCTCATGGGTGAATAGCTGCCTTTACTGACCCCACCATGTTGTCCACTGTGCCTTGGCTCAAGCTTCCTTCTTCCCGGCATGCCTTTCCCCACCATCTCTAGTGCAAGCCCCACCCACTCAATGTTTAGCTCAGACACTGCCATCTCCACCCAGCTCTCCCCTTCCTCCAAGTGACAATGTCTACTTCTGAGCCTCAATCAAACCTCCCACTGCTCCCTCAGGGCACTCAGCACTTTCTGCCTTGTTTTGGAAACATTCAGGGACACACCCAGTCCCACCCACTTGCCTATGAACTCTAAAGGTAGGGCCATCTTACCTTGTCCCTAGGTCCCAGTCCAGAGCCTGAGTGAGAAGAGGAAGGCCAGCTCCCAAAGGGCGTTACTAAACTGTACTGTGAATGTATCCAGGTTCCAGGGCCAAGTGAGCTGCAACCCCACTGCCTAAGGGGGCTGGATACAGGGCTGGCTTGGCCTCAGTGATCCCCTCCCATTTGGCCTTTAATGTAGGGCCTTCACCAGCCTGCTGGGGTCACTGTCCTGTGCTGGACTAGAATTTCCCAGGCTGCTTCTATCAGGCCCTAGGTGCTGCTGTGGTTGGTGGGTGGGAGCGGGGAATGGAGCCAGGAGCTCTGGCTTCTCCCTGAGGACTTGGCACAAGAACACTGGTCCCTCCCATCCCCAGCACTGTCCTTTGCACTTGTTTGGTGGCCCCAATGTGAGTCGCTGTATAAAATGCTGCCTTTGTTATTTTGTAAGAAATTACTTTTCTGTGAACCAGGTACTTATGAAAACCTCAATAACCAAAATAAAGTTCTATATTTTAAAAGAGGCACTGTGTGTGGCGAGTCTTTCCTTGGTCTGGGCATTCACTGGAGTTCCATGTGGCCAGATGCAGGCCCAGCAGGGCTGTAGACTCACCAGAGGTGCCACCTCCCTGTGGGAGACGGGAATCTTAGGAGCCTCCTGTCAGGGCAGCTTTTCCTACCACTGCTTTGGGTTCAAAGCTGGAAGGTGTGCCCCTCCCCAGCTCATTGTCTTCCTATGTCATTCAAGGGCTGGGACTCCAGTGCTGCCTGCCCCGTGGGCTGTTCTGAAGACCAGCAGTAACAGTCCCTCCATGCAGCTCACAGACTACCGGCAAAGGGGTCTCATATCCATGAACATGGCTCTCAACTTCAAGTACTTAATCAGCATCTAACAATTTTTTCCATATTCATGTCATCTGCGAACTAGTGGTTACTGTTGTTCCTTTTGGAGGGAGTCAATAATTCCCTTCCCCACTCCCTATGGTGCTGGTGATCAAACCCAGGGCTTTATGAGCACGCTATCACTGAGCCATACCCCCTAGCCCTGGTAAGTTTAATCTTTGTCCGAAAAATATTCATAGAAAATTGTTTGGGGCCAGGCGTGGTGGCATGTGCCTGTAATCTCAGCTACTCTGGAGGAAGAGATTGGGAGAATCATGATTCTAAGCTAACATGGGCAAAAAAGTTAGCAAGACCCAATCTTGACAAATAAGCCAGGTGTGGTGGTACACAATTATAAACCAAGCTACCTGGGAGATACAGGTAGGAGAATCTATCTATAAGATAGATTCTCCTACCTGGGAAACTGGCCTCTGGGGCAAAAAGTGAGACCCTATCCAAAAAAATAACTGAAGTAAAAAGGGCTGGAAGTTGAACTTGGGTAGAGCACTTGCCTAGCAAGCACAAGACCCTGAGTTCAATCCCCAGTACTGCCCCCTGACTCCCATTTATTTTTTGTTTGGTTGATTTAGCTTTCAGCAGCCACTCCTGAGCTGAGGAAGATTGCCATCTTTGAACTACTGATCTCTTTTCTGGGCAAGGGACATTTTTGGGATGATTCCATCTCTTTTTAACATCTCTCTTGGGCTAATACAGCAGCATTGGTTTTCTCATTTATCTTCCCATCATATCTGGACTTACACTGCACTGAGAGAAGCATCTGCATTTTCTTCCATTAGGTGCCACGTCTAGTCTGCAAGGTTGGGACCCATGATGTGCTTCCCACGTACTTTGCAGGAAATTCCTCGCTTGGGTAATCACACATGGAGTGTGGTACTGGGAGGGACTGACAAGTTTCCATCCACTGCTCCCCATCAGGGTCCCAGAAGCTTCATTACAAGTAGTCATTCTGTCAGGGCTGTATCCAGCCGGTGAAGGCACTGCACTGATTGACCATCAGTGTGTTCCACATTATACTCACCTCTGGTCCTCTCTACTTGGCCAACCCCTGCCCTCTACATGGCCTCAGCCTGGCAGAAAAGCTGGGCTCATCACTTCCTGAATGGGCTAGAATTTGGCAACCCCATTCCACTGGTGACTCATAGCTCCTGATTAAGGTGGAGGCCTCCTCTTCCAGCCCAGCTGTGGTAGACAGATCCTGCTCACCACTTAACTCTACTGGTCCTTCCAGATTCTCTTTGGAAAACTTCATCCATTAGATTTGGTTCTGAGGGCAGCCTGGTGAGATCATTCAATTTTGACTTCCTCAGATCTCACCTTCCAAGTCCCCATAGGCGAATAAACATGAGAAATGCCTGCCATTTACAATCACAGAAACACCAAAGGAGGGAGCTAAGTCCAATCTGACCATTTTTATATTTCTGCACAAGGCAGGCATGCCTGGGATGCTACCTCTGGCTTCATACCCATGCCAAAACAAGCCTCCTTCCCTTCCCTCCCCCACCTCGCTTTCTCTCACTCACAGTACGGTTTCACAGTGTATCTCAGAATGGCCTTGAACTCATGATTTTCCTGCCTCAGCCTTCCAAGTGCTGGGATTACAGGCCTGAAACACCACGCCCACCCACTTTCCTCTTTGCAAAAATAAAACTGGAAGTGAACAGAACAGTGAACAATGTGATTGTGGCCAAATGCTCTGTCTGGAAAGCACACATCTAGGAAACCTTCCTCCGCTTTGACTCGCGGTCCAAGCTCTGGGCTGGGGGCAGGGGGATGGAAAGAGTGCCCAGTCTATGTTCCTCTTCCATGCCAGCTGCCAGAGAAACCTTTCTTTTGGAGACCTTCAGCCTCATGGCTTTTGCTACTTCAATCATCCTAGGGAAGAAACAAACAGAACAAATGGAGAGTTAGCCCTCAATGTGCCCAGGGTGGCTTGGCAGGAGGGAGCAGTACATCTGTGCTCCAGGTCACAAAGACCAGAATTCCAGAAGTGGCAACCACATAGTCATCAACAATTTTTTTCCATCAGTACTGAGGTTTGAACTCAGGACCCTGCACTTGCTAGGTAGGCTCTCTGTCACATGAGCCATATTCCTAACCCTTTGCTCCTGTTAGTTATTTTTCAGATAAGGTCTCTTGGTTTTGCCTGGACTGCAATCCTATTTATACCCTCTGCATAGCTGGGGTAATCGGCATGAGCCACTGCACCCAGCAAACAATTTCATTTTAATGTATTGCCACGAGAAAATATCCAGGTAGGTAATAGAAACCGGGTTCTCTAGACCCCTAGTAATAACCTTCTTAACCGCCCATAACCAAACAAAAGCGACCAGGATTGAGCTCTTGCTAGAATTTGACCAGCTCCTAGTGCCTCTTTGCTTTTACTTTTCAACCTCACTGCCTGTGGGTATGCTGTGTGTGTGGACTGCTGGACGAAGGCAAAGAGAGGTGCTATCACAAGCTCTCTGAGAATACCATCTAGGACCTCGGATGCCAGATGCCCCTCAACCACCAACAAAGGATCCTGGGATGCTCTGCCCTATTGTCTGAATCTCCCCTAGCAAGGCTGAAAGGAACATAAGGTCATCTATCCAGTTCTCCCCACTCTTGTCAGAGAAGCTCAAATGCACCCCTGGAAACCTGCAGCTCTCCTTGCCTTAAACATTGCCCTCCCCTCGAGTCCCTTCTAGTTGAGAAAATTCTGCTTGCTAAGCTGAAGGTGGGTTCTCCTATACCTCCACCCCTGGGAACCCTACTCCCCAGTGACAGCAGTTCAGAGAACAGAGGATGCTCAGTTCTTCAGAACAGAATGCTATGGAAAAGCTTTGGTTTGAAGCCTGACACTCCTTTTGTTTGTGACACCTTAGGGAAGTCATTACTTCTTTCAACCTACGATTCTTCAACTGTTCTTTTAGAGAAATTAAGGAGCGAATTTAATACTGTGACTTGCAAAGAGAAGGCACTGAAAATGTCTAGCCACTCATTTATTCATTCATTGAAAAATGTCTGCTGGACCCCAGATTTTCCTATATGACATATCCCTAGTTCTCTGAATGGTGCCGAAATTCACCCAGGCACCTTGAAGGGAGCTTTTCACTTTGCTAAGCTCACCTTTTCTTACTGAGCTTCAAGTCCCTCTGTAACACTGTCAGGTCAATCTGGAAGTCGTTTATGTGCAAGGCAAGTACAATTACATATGCAGTAATCTTTGCCTTCATAGAATTTGAAATCAAGTTCCGTAAACTGCAAAATCAACGACAGTAAAGAAGAAACAAGATTAAAATCCAAAAACTCAAAATAAGCACATCCAAGCCTGTTCCTTTTGTGTTCAGTGTCTTCCCAACTTGGGGAAAGGAGAAGGAATTTGAGCAAAGGGTCTCATTGCTTCCAAGGTGCCCGAGTCTCACAAGGTGAGCAGTGAGCCAACCCCGGCACTTCCCTGAGTAGGATACAGAAAGTTGTGCCCACACTTTCCCAGGTGGTGTTGGCAAAGGCCCTCCAAGTCTGTCCCTGCCTGCTTAGCAGGGCTGCAAGAAAACAGTCACCCAAACTCAGCTGCTGTGGTTGCTTCTGAGGACACCCAGGAGTAGGAAGCACACTCCAATCAAGTGGCTGCAAGGAAAGCCAAGGTGCCATGAGGTTCTTTCCCAAGTCACTGAACTGGCCTTTCCTTTTCTGCAAACTGCCTTTCCACAGAGCAGTAGTTCTGTGGGAAATCTGTGCTCCTTGAAAGAAGCACAAAGTGAAAGAAGTATTTATCACAGGGCTTCCCATAGCCAAAGATAAGTGAATTTTTCCAGTGGGGCAGCATGTGTAATACATAATGTGTTCTCAACTTGACCACAAAAGCCTTCCAAATAGCAGTGACCTGTTCTACACTGCATCTGTGTGGACATGGGATTGAACCTGAGCCTCCACTCCTCACTCATAACTCCCACCTGCTTTCCCTTTCGTAGGCAAAAACCCTGAAAATGAACCCTTCTGACCTGCCGTTGTTATAAGACAAGCAGGTGAAGTTCTTCAGCAGCTTGGTGTTGATGATGTGGGGAATTCCAGGTCCTAGGGCACCTATAACACAAAGTTGCATTTGATCACTTTCTCAAAAAGTGAAGAGACCAGTGGATGGGCCACCATAATGATAAGAACCACATGGTAAGAGAAGCAGGGGTCCAAGATCCAGGATGACCACTTTATAATGAAGATATATTCAAGTGTGTTTCAGCCTGCAAGTCAGACATACACAGGAAGATGTTTATGATTAGGCCTAATGATGCAAAATTAATGAGATATTAGAAAACAAAACTGAAAATGGAAAAAGCCCAGGGAGAAAACGAGGGAGGCTGGAATGTGAAAATAAAAACTAAGCAAATATACTGTGAAAATGAATCTAGACCCTAAGGTGACCAATCACAGTAACAATGGTCAACTACACATTGTGCCAAAAACCACAACTGTCTCCTATTTGGTTTCCAAATCTCCATAGGTGTAGATATGGTATAGCCATATATGGTCCTAGCTTATAGGTGACACTGGGGTTACCATCAGAAACTGATTCCTTGTTGGAAATACACTAACACCACACAAGCCTGCCACAAACCTTTGTGAGCAAAGCCAGTTTTTTCCTCCCTGTAAATGATGTTTGTTCCAACAGTCTTCCTTAAAATCATTTGACCTGACCTGGATACCATGCTTTGCCTAATGGAGAAGTAGTGAATATTCACTCTGGAAGACCCCTCGAAATTCATGCAATCCAACTTGTCCCCATTTCTAGAAGAAAGAACTCATCAAATCCTCTGGCATATCAGCAGCATCACGAGGAATCGTAGTGCTTCACAGTTAAAAACAAAGACTTGGACACTCATAGCCATATTCTTCCCTTCTCAGAGCTGATCTAACAACTACAGACAAATAAGGGACTGGAGCACTAGAATCAAATGTCTAGCACGAGCTTACTTTTCCGCTTTATAACTTTCTGATTTCGAAATTTGATGAGAATGTCTAGAAACCATATGCATCGGGCCTGGTGGTCTCGGCTCTCTTCATTTGATGGCAAAGACTTCAGTGCCTCAATGACAAAGGAGCAGTGGCTGAAACAAGGAAGGGAAAATGAGGGCTGTGTCAGGGTACTCAGGCTCTGTCAGGAACCATACCTCCTCACAATGAGAACAGAAGCACCTCTCCCCCATACACACTCAACAGCTGATGTAGGGCAACCATGCTCAACAATCTTTACAACAGGAAAGCTCTGCTTTAGTGTAAGGGACTGTAAAAGGGCCAGATAGTCAAGATTTTAGGCTTTGTGGGCTATACAGTCTCTGATGCAACTCTATGTCATACTGCAAAAGCAGTCAGACATATTACTTATGAGTGAACAGAGCTGTGTTCAAATAAATCTTTCCTCTACTTTATTTAGTCACAGGCAGCAGGTGGCAGGTGGGCCACAGTTGTCTGACCTCTGGGTTAGTGGCCAGGAGCATAGGCTCTGCAGTCAGACTGCACCTGTTTGAGTCCCTTCTCTGCCATTTAATGGTTAGGGCAAGTTCCTATACATCTCTATGCCTTGGCCTATATTGGGGCCAATGATAGTGTCCTGATCCTCAGGACTTGTTCCCGTGTCACCAGTCTGCAAGTCAAGTACTTAGAGCAGTGCCTGGCACAAAATGACAGCTCAATTTGCCTTAGCCATTATTTTATGTACTATTCTGTACCATCTGGCCCTGGAATGAGAGATAAAAAGGCTCTTCACGATGATCTTGTAGGTTGCGGATGTAGCTCAGTGGTAGATAGTGTGCTTGCCTAGCATAAGAGAGGCCCTGGGTTTGATCCCTAGCAACACACACACACACACACACACACACACCACACACACACACACACACACACACACACACACCACACACACACACACACACACCACACACACACACCACACACACACACACACACACACACACACACACACACACACACACACACACACACACACACACACACACACACTTACTTTAGAAAAGCTTGCCCACCATACTGTTGAAGAAGTTATCACTTCGGCACCACCCATTCCCAGGACAGCATGGGAGTGCTGCCAGTACTGTCAACACAACACAAGGCCAAGGGCTAGCTCTGGTCTCCAGCCTCAAACTGCAGGGCCTTGCCACCCTCTGTCCAGCTACAGGTTCCATGCACCCAGATGCCACATCCGTTCCCTGAATCCACCCATGGTTCCTGAAAGCCCAGAGCCAAGAGAACACTGGCTCCTTCCTGTCCAAGCTCAGCAGACACCTTCTCACTGACTAACACCCCAAGGCCCCACTGCACGTCTGACTCCTACTGCTTCCCAACCTCATGCCCCAGACACCCCATGTGCCCAAGTGGGAGTACCTGTTCTCTTCAATCATCTTTAGGATTTCTTCTGCTGTGACCTTCCTGAAAGCTTCAGATGGGCTCTGGAGAGCTTCGTACTCCATAGGGGACAGAACTAATTGCAGGTCAAGAACGTAACTCAACCAAAACAGAAACATCCAACATCTTGAAATGGCCTCAGTTCACACAGGAAAGCTAAGGCTGTCCTTAGTCCAGAGGACTGAGCTCAGTAACCCAGTTCTCAGATGCCAGCCCAGTGCTCATACCTTGCTTGGCTGTTCTGCCTTCTCTTCCTTATCAGATCCATGGCTGGCACTTATTATCTAACAAAACCATCTAACCAAACTTCACTTCATCAAGTAATGAAATTCTATACTCCAATACTTCCTTTTACATCATCTGCCCTAGACTCTGGGCATTGGCCAACTCAAAAGTTGTATTTCAACTATTCGTGGAGAGTGACCCCACCAGGCTAAGCTGGGTCCCTCTGGCACACTACTAAGGAGTGGATCTGAATCAGCTGATGAGGAAGCCTGGCTGACCTACCTCCTGGCAATAGGACCACACCAAGTACAAAGGTTTGGAAGTTGCTATGAATGCCTTAGGACCACAGACAACATCCAAGAGCCTGTCTATGCCAACAATCAACCACAATTTGCGAACTAAGGAAGCTTTTCTACCATAAGATGGGTACTGTCTTCAAGAAGAACATCACAGAACTGGAGGCGTGGTTCAAGCAGTAAAGTACCTGCTTTGAAAGTGTGAAGCCCCGAGTTCAAACCCCAGTCCCACCAAAAACAAAAAGTAGGGGCTAAGAAAGAATAATATAGAGGAGATGAGTTCCATCAAAGTACATCATACGCATGTATGGAAATGTCACAATGAAACCCCTTTCTACAATTATTTTATGCTAATAAACTTTAAGTAAGAAATGATCCAGAAGTTACACACATAGTTACGTGAAAAGGAAAGGATACTATCTTCAAATTTATACACATCTTCAGGCTTGGCTGCATCAGCATGGCATGGGGGAAGGTACAGGGAGTCATCTTGCAAGTCATCCTGGATGGCATCACTGACAAGAGCTTTCAGTAAAAAGAAAGTTAGTGTCAATGTCACCCTGTTTGATTTCAGGTTCCCCAACACTCTTTGCAGTTTGTGCATTTGAGACCATAAAGGTCCCAAGCCCCCAAGTCTGAATGCATCTACTAAGATGACCTGAACTGCCTGTCAGGCTAATTGTTTTAGGACCACTAGGTCCGGAAGGTGGATACAGTGTGGCCCTCTCAAAATGATTTGCAATACAGATATTAGAGACAGATATTCGAATAAACATTCACAATATAGTATCAGGGAAGCTAAGTGAGAAATAGGGTTGGGGATGTAGCTAGTGGTAGAGTGCTCACCTAGCATGTTTAGAGAAAAAACATGAGCCAGGGCACTGCTGGCTCATACTCTAGCTTCTCAGAGGCAGAGATCAGAAGGACTGAGGTTGAAAGCCAGCTCAGCAAACAGTTTGTGAGATCCTATCTCAAAAAAACCCATCACAAAAAAGGGCTGGTGGAGTAGCTCAAGGTGAAGGCCCTGAGTTCAAACCCCAGTATCGCAAAAAAAAAAAAAAAGAATTAAGTATGTAAATGGAAGGGGATGGAGAGATAGGAAAGTTGTAATATTGGTGTGGTAAAATGTTGGGCCCTGGTTGAATTACTTTTTTAAATGCCATTTTTTTTGTTTTTGTTTTTTGTTTTTTTTTTTGTGGTGGTGGTGCTGGGGATCAAGCCTCAGGCCTTATGTATACTAGGCAAGTGCTCTACCACTGAGCTATAGCTCCACCCCTTAAATGTCTTTAAATACCTGTGAATAAACTTAGCAAAAAATTTAAATTTGCTTAGATGTTAAAGTATGCCTTTGGCTGGGTGTGGTATCACATACCTATAATCCCAGCACTTGGGATGCTGAGACAAAAGGATAGTGAATCTAAAGCCAGTGTGGGCTATGTATTAAGATCCTGTCTCAAAAAAGATAAAGAAAAGATATGTATTTGAATAAACAGACATATATCTATGTTCCTGGGTAGTAAAACACAGTATTATAAAGATACTGATTCTCCTCATTTTAATCTCAACTGGATTTTTGAAGAAAACTGACAAAAATAATTCTTAAGATCATCTGGAAGAAAAAGCATGCTTTAGCAGTGAATACATTTTTAAAAAATAAAAATGAAAGAAGAGGATGAATGATGAGATAATAACCTAATGAGAAGGCTACTATGCTCAAAAGATACTATGCTGGTACAGGAATAACCAATCAGAACAAGGAACAGATACAACTAAGTGATCAGAACGTGGTAACACGGTAAAGATGACTTTAAATCACCTAGGATGAAACTGGGGACAACTGGGTAATCACTTAGGAAATATAAAATTAGATCTGTACTCTATACAAAACAAAAAGCACAACTGTGAAAGTATTAAAAGGCAACATAGGAAAATAATATCAGATACGGAAAGATTTTCTTAACATTTCTAAAATTCCACTCTTTTTTGGCAGTGGAGTTTGAGTTTGAACTCAGAGCCACGCACTTGCTAAGCAGGTGTTCTACCACTTGAGCCATGCACCGTATCTTTTTGCTGTGCTTATTTTGGAGATAAGGTCTCACTTTTGCCAGGCCAGCCTGGACAGCAATTCTTCTGTGTTATACTTCCTGCCATAGCTGGGGTGACAGGCATATAACACCACCCTCAGCTTTTTTCCATTGAGAAGGGGTCTCACAAACTTTTTCCCAGGGTGGCCTCAAATTGTGATCCTCTCTATCTTAGCTTCCCCAGTAGTTTGAGATACAGGTGGGAGTCACCAGTAGCAGGCCAGAATTCCATTCTTAATAGATAAACATTTTTCAATAGCACAATAAAATGTGCAAGGTGCCGAGGACCAGAAAAAGATCCACTGGCCCCAAGGTGAAGTGCTACTTCTGGAGGTTCAGGCCCACCATTATCACTCCAGCCGTTCTGACCAAAGCCTCCTTGGACTCAAAGAGCTGAGAGGCTGTCCCCCACTACACCCTGCAGGCTTGCACATATCCGCTCCCATGCCTATCTCCTCCCCTTAACTATAAGCTTCTGAGGCCAGGACCCTGTCAGTTGTTTCTTACGTTCCCACAGTCTGTCCCTGAGAGGCCCTCAGCAAGCTACAAGGAAGGCATCCAGCCTTAACTCCCATCACTTCCATCTTCTCTCAAGAGAAGAGAAAGTATCTTTCTGGGCACATTTTTGCCCCAAGTTCCAGCAGCTTACCATTCACGCCCTTAGTATCAATGATGTCCTCTGCAGCTTTAGCAACTGCGAGGTTCAAAGATTCACTGCCAACTTTGTTCATTCTCCTGGAGTTTAGAGATCGCTTCTGTTTGGTAGTTCCAAAGGCTTCGATGCAAGAATCCATCTGTGTAAGAGATAAACCCAGTTACTGGGGACAAGTCCAACAGCACTGCTACTCTAACTGTGTAACAAAGAAGCTCTAGGCTCCCGGAGCCATCATCACCTCACCTGACAATTAGGCAGTCACACCATTTTGCCTCACGGGACTGTTGTACACATCACATAATATTAACAAATCGGACATACTTTATAAACTTTATTTAGGGCTTTTTATAAATCAGTAGCTTTTCAATCAGTAAAATGAAGACTTGACTACAATTAGCGTAGTTAAATCTGTGGCCCACAGCTTATCACTCTCCTCCCATTCTACACCCGCTAACAGATACTGCGGACAGATCACTTACTCTTCTCCCACCTACCCACCTCCTAGCCAGAGAGAATCTTCATACCCCTTCTCAGTACAGTGCTCCAGGCAGCACTGAAGACTCAAGTTACCATCCTGGGATGAGATGACTTTTAGAAGAACTTTGAGCTTGCAAAGCAGGCACTGTACTTCATACCTCCAGTCCTGTAAGGACTTTCTACATTGAATAATCCTATAGTTTACTTTGTTTTAATATGAAAGTTTCCAGGAACAACCATTATTTTTTAAAAGTTGAACCAATTCTAAAGACAAGTATTATGCTATACTCTTCCAGCCTAGAGAACAGGTTCCAGAACTGCTCCAAACAGAAATAAGTCTGCTCTCTGGGAGACTATGAGGTCTCTGTAGGTAGGAACTGTCCACAGAGTCACAGCTAGAGCAGTGAAGACCTGAGTTCAACAGACTCACTGTATTTAGGGAAAAATCCAGGCCTAGAAGGAATGTCCTTAAGGCCCCAATTCTGTCATACTCACCTTTTCTCTGAAAGTTTTGGCTTCACTCTCCAGAGTAGGTCCACTCTCAACAGATTCATCTTTTGAAACATAAAACACAATAGCACAGAGAGAAAAAAAGCAAACTGTAAAGCCTACAAATATCAATTTTTTTTTCGAAACAGTGTTTCACTGATGCCCAGGCTGGTCTTAAACTCCTAGACTCAAGTGATCCTCCTGCCTCAGTCTCCCAAGTAGCCAGGACTACAGGCATGAGCCACTGTGCCCAGCTCTGTAAGGCCTACAAATTTTAAAGTGTTGAATATTTATTTGTTTATCAATTGATCTAAGAAAGGCAGATTTCTTTATTCTAGGACTTCCCTGAGCCTAACATGAATGTATACTATGAGCTTATTAATATGTAGCTTTAGTACACAATGAAGAAATTTGGAAATAGATTAGGCGGTGAGATGAAGGTGTCATCTGGTCCAATCTCTTCATTTTGTAGGGAAAAATGAGCCCTCCAGGTAAAATGACCTGTCCCAGATCAGTTCACCAGGGTGAGGCAGAGTTGCATTAGGAGACAAGTTTTCAACTTTTTTCATAAATAGTTTTGCTCTCCTGGTAACAGACCTAAAAGCAACATTAACATGAGGCAAGTATTTTTTACATGACGCTCTCCAGCCTTGCACAAAGCACTCAAATAAGGCGTAGTATAATCTGCTAGGAAGAGTACAAGCTCTAGAGTGGCCTTGCCTGAGTTCTATCAGCAGTGTGCCCCTGTAAAAGTCACCTAACCTATGTGTCAGTTTCATTGTTGGTAAAAAAAAAAAAGGAATAACAGTACCTATGAAGTAAGTCACATGGGGCACTGAAAGTGTTTAGAATAGGACAAGTACATAGTAAGGACCCAATACTAAAGTGTGTATGCTAGCTAAAATAAACTAGCATTTGCAAATGCAAATGGTGCGTCCCTGTAATACAACCTATACAAGGAGTATAAATAGAAGAAATTACAGTTCAGGATGGCCCAGGTTAAAAAGCAAGACTATGCGGGACACATTGCTCAAGCAGTAGATCACCTGCCTAGCAAGCCCAAAGCCCTGAGTTCAAACCCTATACTGGAAGAAAAAAAAAAGGTGAGGCCCTATCCAAAAAGTAACTAAAGCAATGAAAATCAGGACTATAGAATAAGCACTGTGTGTGTGTGTGTGTGTGTGTGTGTGTGTGTGTGTGTGTGTGTGTGTGTGTGTGGTGGGCGCGTATACTAGTGTGGGAGGAAGGGTGAATGAAGGAGATTAAGGTGACAGTAGATGGTAGATGGACTCCATATACCTATATAAAACAGAACTAAAAAAACCTCTTCTAATTGCTTTAATGGGGTGGGGAGGGGGCTGAGGAGGAGAGACAATGGGGGCAATGTAAATAATGTACAATATAAGTCTAATTGGAATTGTCACTATAAATACCCCCTGTATAATTAATATATCCTAATAAAAAAATTTATTAAAAAAACTAAAGCAAACAGTGCTAGGGCGTGGCTCACACAGTAAGAATTTGCTATCAGACATGTTCTCTAACATTCTGCACTGATTACTGCTCAACTTCTCAACTTGATTCAAAGATTGCTTCTAATCCCACATCAGTTAAAACTGTGGGACCAGATCTGTGTCCGTCTTACTAGCCATCCATAGCCCCTACTTTGATGCCTAGAGCACAGCAGGTCACCAATAAATGCTTGTGAATTAAAAACTTCTGGACTGTGGCATGACTCAAGTGGTAGAGTGCCTGCCTAGCAAGTGTGAGGCCCTGAGCACCCAGTACTGAAAATATAAAATTCTAAAACCTTTCAAATAAATAAAAAAGGCAGAAAGTCATTCTTTTAGAAAAAATTATATAACAAGTGTTTTAAAAATCAAAAACTCAAATGAACTCATCCAGCAAACCCAAACCATGCAGTGTTACTGTTTTGTATGTGTGTGTGTGTGGTGTGTTGTATGTGTTTGTATGCGTTATGTGTGTTGTATGTGTGTGTGTGTAGCAGTACTGAGGTTTGAATTTAGGACCTCTCACTTGCTAGGCAGACACTCTACCACTTGAGCCATACCCACAGCCCTTCTGGGTCTTCATGTCTGGGACCTACCTGCAAACAGGGGCTGCATTTTGAACAATTCAGCATCATATACTTCCATTTGGCCAGAGGTCTTGTTCAAAATTCCCACAAAATGCCTAAATAAAAAAAGAGTAACGCAATGGATTATTCATAGCAATTTACTTTTTGCTATGCACAAGTTCTCAACCTTCTTTCTACTCTAACACATCTGAGAAATGCAGCAAACTTACACAAGAGTAACAATAACAATAATTCCTTTCAGCACCAATTCTCTACAGAGAGAGGGAAAAGGAGGGGTGGGAAGGGAGAAAACATGAGGTGACTAGAGAAGGGATTCCATCAACAGGTGATTCTGGTAGACAATCATATTTGGACTCACTGCTGTAAAGAGAAACTCTTCTGAGGTACAAGAATCTAAATTACACTATAATTTACTGTGCACATAAATTTTATGGAGGCAAAAATAGTAAAATCTTATTAATTATAGGAAGAACATCAATCTGAAATGGAACATCTTTATTAGGAGCAATGCAGCATTAAGTTTTAAGCAGATACATATACATCAATCTGCCTCCCACCAGAACATGGTTGAGCAGGGGCTCTGAAAGGGCCTTGTTTGTGGCTCACTGTTGATACCATCACAAGGAGTCTGTCTATATCACGTTCAACTCCTGAGAACTATAGAATGTTCTGACTGGACAATCTTCATGATATAGAGGAGTCCAGGCTGAGGGAAGGACAGAGTTGCCCTAAATGACTCAGCTAATCAGTGCCATTGCTGGATGGAAACATGAAGCTCCTGTTACCCAGTCCAGAGTCTTTGATGCTACCAAATCCTTTTCTTCTACTTAGTACCAAGCAAACTTAGGGCAAGCTTTGACCTATTGATCATAAATTCCAAGTTAGTGAAGAGAGCTGCCTTTTAGAATAAGAATTATAAATAAATAATGTTACAAATAAATGAAATCTTTAGGAAATATGACAAATACAAAACATCTTTTCCTTCCAGCAATGTCTAAAAGCCACTTAGTTTAAAGGCCCGAGTCTAGAAACATAGGGACTTGGCAAACCGCCTTGGATTTCTCTAACTTCTCTTAAAATACTGTGTTAGTGCCACCATCAGTACCCTCCCCATCACTCTTCTCACTGACCCTCTCCCTCCATCACCTGCACAGAGTGTTGCACTTGAGGGCTCCAGTCCCAAAATTGTTTCCAACATAGGAAAGTCTGTCTGTTTCAGCTGCCTAAAATGCAGAGGGAAGGGAACTCCATTTACAACCAACATTGAAAAGTATTAAGCATCATGTTTTCTACATTTGCAGAAGCTTTTAGAATCCAAGACCACAGTGGATTAGCACTAGACAGCCTCTAGGAGATGAATCTGGGGTATCTCTAGGGAAAAGGCAAGAGAACTTTTTATAGGGAAGCCCCACATAGTGCTGGCTTCTAACTGGTGTGAAAAGTTCTTGGGGAGCTATACCACAGGTCTTGACAGAGAGGCCCTGGGCTCCCTGGACTTACAGGTATGCAACAAAGTGCTTCTGTGGACAATGTTCTGGGCCCAAAGTCCAAGGCCTTCTTGATCTTCTTTGTCCACCTCTCCCAGGACTGCTCTTCATGTCCCCTCAGGACCACTGGAAATGTCTGGTTCAATCCCAGTCACAGCAAGCTTCCCTTCTCCCCTGCATTTGTCCTTACTATCTTTACTAGGATCACCCAATCTCAGCTGTCCAACCCTCCCTCACCCTTTGGGGCTCGGTTCCAATGCACCCTCCCCCAGGAAGGCATTCTGGTAAGCAGAGGCCTTTCTTTCCACTGAGCTCACTCTCCCCATTAGAACCCTGAGCTTTGTGTATGTATGATTGTCCCTCACAGCCAGTTTGTGCATCTCAAGAGCAGGAGCTCTCAACCCAGGAAAATCTTCTCCAGTGCTACTGGCCTCTAGTGGGTAGAGGCCAGAGATGCTGCTAACTGTCCTGTGATGCAAGCACCTGCCACCCACAACAAGGAATTATCTGTCTCAAAACTGCTAAAGTTGAGAAACCCTGCTCTAGAGTACAAGCTCCCTCAGAATGAGGCCTGGTCTCATTTGGATGTTTTCCTAGCACTCTACTGCACAGGGATACAGTAGGTATTCAATAAATGAACAATGAAAAAAAAGAATGAGCTGGGTGCTGGTGGCTCACACCTGTAATCCCAGCTACTCAGGAGGCAGAGATCAGGAGGAGTGCAGTTCAATCTCAAGCAAATAGTTCATGAGACCTTATATCAAAAACATTCAACACACACACCAAAAGGGAGTGGTGTAGAGTGCCTGGTTAGCAAGCATGAGGCCTTGAGTTCAAACCTAAGTACCACATACACACACAAAACCAAATGAAAAGTCATTACTTCATCCAAAAATCCTGAATCCTGATGGAGACTATCTCCACACCCCAAGCTGCTGGAGGAGCTCTTCAAAATCCCTTTTGCTACTTCCCTTCTGCTCCCCTCATGACCTCCCACATCCATCCATACCAAGGGGCCTCCTGAGGCCTACAGAGTGGAGGCAACCTGTAGCTACCACACTTACCAGGATGCGCTGACTCCTCTTCCTGGGGTTCATGGTGTCGTTGCTGTTGTACAAGGTAAAGCGCATGTCGCCAGAGTTCTGCAGCTTCCCGTTGGAGAACTGAACTGTAAGAGAGCAGCCCAAAAACGCGATGAGAACAGAAGGGCCCACATGGTGAGGAGGAAACGGAGTGTCACTGGGAGACAGTGGCAGTTCGAATGGGAAGGCAAGGAAACTCAGGTCCTGATCCTTACAGGCACTGAAGGAGGTCCTGATACAGTTGGGAAGAGAAAATAGGAGGGTGAGGGGGTGGGGAGTGGGAGAAGAGATCCCTGGGAGGCCTGTGACAAGAGAGAACAAGGGAATGAGAATGACAGAAAAAACCTGGTCCAGGCCTAAAGAGACAGAGGTAATCTGCTCAGTGGAAAGAGGGAAATGGAGCAGATGGGAGGCTTGGCGAGGGGATAACAGGATCCTGGCACAGCCCTGAGGAAGAGTGGAAGCTGGGAAGTAGTTACAGAAAGATGAAGGGATGACAGGGGAGCCTGGTCCCAGCACCGAGTAGAGGAGGAGACTTGGCGGGTGGCAGGGGAGTCCTGGCCAGGCTGGGGAGGGAGCTTGACGCAGGGCAGGAGGGAGGAGGGCTGCTGAGGTACCCAGAGGGAATGGAGAGGGTCATGGGAATTCTGCTCCTGCTCGGCGAGCTGTACTCGGCTTACCCAGTACAGCTCTCTGCCTCTCGTCGGGCCCCCCACAGTACAGCCACCTCGCAGTCGACAACACCTCCGCCGCCATCTCGCCTGTCCGCCAGCCAGCTCAGGAGACAGGAGTGCAGCCGCTCAACTCGCTTGCTAACACGCGGAAGCCTGGAAAGTATAACCAGCCGGAAGGGGTGGGTCCTCACCGGGCCCCGCCCATAGTTACGCAACCGTGAGGCTCCGCCCCTACGCGCTAGGCGCACAGTCCCCGCCCACTCTTTCCTCTGCACTCCATGTTGTTTCCTCCCGCACGTTGCCACACCCCCTTCTTGGCCGGCGCAGCACCTGATTGGCCCAGTGCTGTGCCTTCGCCTTACGGGATTGGTGGGACTAGAGCTCGATGAGCTGAAACGTTTATACAGCTCCAGGCTAAGCGTCATGGGGCTTCCACTTATTTAGCTTGGCCTAGGTAGAGCGTCGTCTTTCTCTCCTACCGTGAATATGTCAGCTAGGATCATCTTCGGCCCCATGGGAATGTGACAGCTGGTGGAGAGTCTTCCTTTGTAGGGCCCTCCCTCCACACCCATGGATAGTCAAATTTTGTCCACAGCTCCGCACACAGTTCCCATAATCCCTCCTCCGACCTAGGTGTGCACACATTCGTGGCCCAATCGACCCTGGGAAGATGGACCACCAGGAGAGGCCTAGCAACCTCAGAGCATTGGGGCAGGGGCTTCTGAAGTGGGTTCGAAGAGAGGAGTCCTACCTGATGGACGTGTCCTTTCATCCCTGCAGTCTCAACAACTCTCCTCGTGGGGAGTATCAAAGGAAGAGGAGGGCAAAACATTGTATGCGCATATGAATAAAAGAAATTAAAAAAAAAGAGGAGGGCAAAAGCAAGGCCATTAAGCATGGACCCAGGCCAGTGCCCCTTTTGCCCTTTACTGTTCAAAGCTGACTCATCTCTGTTCTTCAAATTGCTGCCTTTGAAACTCGCCCCCTACCTCCCCCACACACACACACCCAGGACCTCCGAAATATCCCTTAGACCTACGTGCGCCTTTGCTTGAACACTTGTCACATTTTTCTAATTATTCAATCTCAGGCTTATATGAACACAGCAAATGCTACATTATAAAGAACCGAACCATTGCATTGACCTGAGCCATTCAAATTGTCATCCTGACACCCTACTCACCCCTAAAGAGTATATGTTTTCTATGAACAAGGACCGATATAGTTTGAATGGGGAACGTCCCGCAAACACACATGTATTAAATGCAACCCGTGAGGCTCATGGGAGGTGGGGGACACTTTAAGAAGTGGAGTTCAGTGAGAGCTCTTTAGGTCATTGAGGAGGTATCCTCTCAAGTAGGTTAGTGGGACCCGCCTCTCCTTCCTCTTCTGAGTAGCTTTTCATGGCTCCTGCCATAATGTGCTTGCTGCTTTGTCACAGACTCCAAACCGTTGACCATAAGCCTCCAAAACTATGTACCAAAATAAACCTTTCCCCTTTATAATTTGATTATCTCAAGTATTTTGTGACAGAAAGATAACTAATGCAAGGACTTTCACTAAATATTTACAATATAGCCATTAGAATTAGGAAATTAATATACATTACTACCAGCTATTCCTCACATCCTAGTTAAGTTCACCAAATGTCCCAGTACTGTCTTTATAGCAAAAACATTCTGCTAAGAATCATGTGTTAGCTGGGCACCTTATGGCTCATGCTTGTTATCCTAGCTACTTGGGAGGCCAAGATCAGGAGGATCGAGGTTTGAAGCCAGCCTGGGCAAATAGTTTGTGAGACCCTATCTCAAAAAAATACCCAACACAAAACAGGGTTGAATGAGTGAATCAAATGGGAGAGCACTTGCCTAGCAAGTGTGAGGTCCTGAATTCAAACCCCAGTACCACCAGCCCCCAAATCATCTGTGAAAGGGTTGGGGTTGTAGTTCAGTGGTAGAGCACTTGCTAGCATGTGCAAGTCCCTGGATTTGATCTCCGCACTGAAGAAAAAAAAAAAAAAAAAAAGCAAAACAAAACAAAAATAATGTTATCTCAAAAAAAACAAGGGCTGGGGAAGGAGTTCAGTGATAGCACACCTGCCTAGCATGGGAAAGGCCCTGGGTTCTATGAAAGGAAAGAAGGAAAGAAGGAAGGAGAGGGAGGAGGGGGGAGAGAGAGAGAGAGAGAGAGAGAAAGAAAGAAAGATCAAGTGTTGCATTTAGTAGTGATAGTTCTTTGTCTGATTAGAAGGCTGCCTTGCTCGACCTCACCTAATGGCTTTTGTTAAAGTGTTCAGAAGGGGAAAGAAGTAGAAAAAGAGATTATCTAATTATTTGCTTGTCTCCTGCATCGATCTTTTCCACACTAAACTTATTTGAGGTTACAAGAAATAATTTTGGAGTTAAACAATAAGCAAATTTATTTATTTTTCTTCACTGCTATATCCCCAACTCCTCCTCCGACAGTGCCTGCACCGAGTAGACCCTCAGTACATGGAACAAATGAGCAACAGGGCAAGGAATGGGTTGGGATCATTATTTTAATACGGGGAACCTTGCATAAGGACCAGACTCAAGGGATGCTTTTGTTTGTTTGTTTGTTTGTTTTGTTTCTTTTTTGTCAAGGGATGCTTTGTAATGGTTACAATAGGGCTGGGGGCGTGGCTCAAGTGGTAAAATGCCTGCCTAGCAAGTATAGAGCCCTGAATTCAAGTTCCAGTACTGCAAAAAAAAAAAAAAGAAAGAAAAATTCAGGGCTGGGGGCATGGCTCAAGTGGTAGAGTGCCTGCCTAGCAAGCACAAGGTCCTGAGTTCAAACCCCAGCACCATCAAAAAAAAAAAAAAAAAGAAGCAACAACAACTGTTGGGGCTGGTGGAGTGGCTCAAGTGGTAGAGCGCCTGCCTAGCAAGTGTGAGGCCCTGAGTTCAAACCCAGTACCACCAAAAATAAATAAATAATTTTTTAAAAAATCAACTAGCATAGGGTTCACACATAATAGATACTCTATAAATGTTCATTGGTTGAAAATGATTCCCTTTTAAGGCAATCTTTGCCAGTCAGACACAACCTCTGAAAGTCCTCAGGATTGGCTGCTCTGTAGCTGGAGGGGAGATGATGAAGCATACACCTGCTGAAAGCAAGGATTCCGAGAATTATCACTGGCAAGAGGCAAGAGTTCAAAGTGATAGAGACTCTACCTGGGGAAAGAAATGTTAAGGAAGGGGCGGCTAGAAGGAGACTGTAGCATATCGCAATGCTGGTTAATTATTTAACAGTGGTTCAACACACACACACACACACACACACACACACACACACACACACACACATGAATATATAACTGGGATTGGACGGGATAGCAGTAGCCTTACTGACGTAGTAACCAAAAGGCAAAAATCCACAATGGTCTCTTCTGCATTAGAATCATGGATAACCACAGACATTACATAAAACGTTCTCATCTTGCATTTCTTTTTCTTTGGGGGAGAGGTACTGGGGTTTGAACTCAAGGCCTCGGGTTTGCTAGGCGGGCGCTCTACCATTCCCAGTCGTGGAGTTCGCTTTCAGCAGCAGTTTTTCTGAGAAGGAAACTTGAGCGCCCGGGAGAGGAAGAGCCGCAGGTCCTCGGTTCCCTGGGTAACACCTCCACCTGCTGGTGCTGCGGCATAGCGCTGACCAAGCCGAAAAGGCACTTCCACCACTCACCCTGAACTCTGCCAACTGCTGCTTTCTTTGCTTTGCCTCTTCCCTTCTTCCGCCTCGAACTCTTTTTCTTCCTTCCTCTCTGGTTTTTTTTTCTGTGCATATATATATTTATATAATTGATATGATAGATTATTGTAAAATATTGTATAGCTTTGTATCTCCCTTTTTAAGAAAATGTAACGTTATTCTGTAAGCATTGTGTCAAGTCTCATTTACTGTTGAATATTGCCGGTGTTACTCATCCAATCAGCTGGATGACTACGTAGGATATTTTTTCACCGTATATACAGTATATCAGTGACCATTTTGAGCATAAAGCTTTACTTTTTTGGGTTTATGTCTTTGAATGATGTAGAATTTTAACATAAGTATTTCTTAAAAATTCTTAATATGCAGTCAAAATTCTCTCCAAAAAAGTTTTAGATATTTTAAATCCTCATTTAATCTTCCAACATCATGCAAGGCACTTTGGGAAAAATAAAAATAAAAATATAGGGCTGGGGATGAGTTTCAAACAGTAGAGTGCATACCTAGCAAGTGCAAAGTCCTGAGTTCAAATCCCAGTACTGCCAAAAGCAAAAAGAATAAAAATATATTATCCTTAGCTGTGGCTATTGCTCAGTAGTAAAGTGCTTTCATAGCATGTGTGAGGACCTGGGTTACATCCCCAGCACCATGAAAACAAAAAAGCAAACCACAACCCTTGCTCTCAGAAACTCCTTACAAGAACCACAAAAATGGGGGGGAGGGACACACACTCAAGGGTAGACACAGTTAAGTCTCTAGAATTCCTCTTCTCAGTTCTGTCAGTTTTATTGGCCATTTGTGTCTAAAAGCTTTGCTACTAAAGGTGTGCTCATTCAGGCATGTTCTCTCTTCTTGATGAATTAACCCTTTTAACATTAAAATTTTCCTCTTTATTTCTTGTGATAGAACTTGTCCTGGAATTCACGTTATCAAATATTAACAAAAAATGCCAACTTTCTTGTTATTGGTGTTTGCATGATATACCTTTTCCCATATTTTTTATTCCTAACCTGTTTGTCTTTATGTTCAAAATAAGTTTTGCTTTTTTTTAGTCAGGTATCAATCTCTTCCTTTTAACTGGAGTTTTAAGAACATTTACATTTTATGCAATTATCTGCATGGTTGAGTTCAAATCCAGTAACTACTTTGAATTTGTTTCATCTTTTTTTGTAGTTGCTTTCTTCTGTATTCTTTTGAATTAATTGAAATTTTTTTAGTATTGCATCTTGTTTGCACTTTGGCTTACTAGCTATACCTCTTTATTTAACATTTTCAGTTGCCCTACGGCAAGGGGTGGCAAAAAAGATTGTCTTAGTTTTGTGGAGCTGCTATAACAAAATACTGCAGAGTGGGTGGCTTAAACATTTACTTCTTTCAGTTCTGAAGACTAGGAAATCCAAGAT